CATTGACGTATCTATAACTGACATAAGTTCTCAATCAAGTGACTCATCAACTAAACAAGAAAATGATTTGATAAAGCCATTAGCAAAACAAAGCAAAATTTCTGAAACAATGTCAGAAATTCTTTTAGATGACATTAAAGAGTCTTCAGTTACAATTACAAAACTATCTCAAGAAACAATTCAAGATTATTTGAAAGTGAAAGATTCAAAAGTATCTGCTAAAAAGTTATCACAAGAAGATATAGAAAAGTACACGCAATTACAAGATCATCAAATTTCAAATATTTGGCTTTCAAAGACATACAACAATTATCTACATGAAGATCTTATAACAAGTGATTTACGATTACTTGATGGATCAGAAAACAATGGATGGCTAAACGATTCTCTAATTACAAATGGAATGGCTGTTATTTTTAACAATCAAGCTAATAATAATAACTTACTTAATTTTCAAACTTCTTATCGTTTTCAACAAAATTATCCATATTTAAAACCTAAGTATTATTTCACTAATGTTGGACAAGAATTACACCAGATTGTTAACACTGGTAACCATTGGATTTACATCAATGTTCAATATACATCATCAACAACAATTACATGTAATGTTTATGATTCGGTTAACACATTAACTGTTAGCGAATTAATTGTACGCGTCGCAAGTGCACATATAAGACAACTCGACATAACACCTCAATTAAAATATCAATTTTGGCGAGTAACAAAACAGCCAAATTCTAATGATTGTGGTGTTTATGCTTTAATGAATATGGCATTAAATATTTCTGGTATTAATCCAAGTTCAATAAGACAAACTGAAAATAGTTTCAATTTGCGTCAAAGATTACAAAGATGGTATGAATCTGGACAAATTTCATTGCCAATTACTCGAAATACCGAAGCAAAATCCAAATACATAACAATACCAACTCTACATTGTTTGTGTTCGAAAACATTTAATAATAATATGATTCGCTGTACACAATGTGGTGAAAGATTTCATCAAAATTGTCAGCAGGATAATAACACAACACAAAGCAATTTTGTTTGCACAAAATGTGTTGAACCAAATCAAGATATTTACGATGTATTGTAAATCATAAATCTATATATAACTATTATATCCTTTTTTAAATATACTTTTGTATTTAATATTTGATGTTTAAAATAAAATTAAAATTTTATATAAATGTGGTTTATTTTTTATAAATGACAATTAATTTGCGAACATAATATTTTATACCGTCAAGTTTTTTTTCTGATAATGCTTTCTAGCATTCTTAACTGGTTTTAGCTTAAAAGCATCAATACACTAATGTATATTTTTTTTTAAAAAGTTATAAACATAAATTTATATACAGTATATTTTTGCAGACAAAACTTATTTTAATAATATAATAAAAAACAACTAAATTTTAATATTATTAATTTGTTTTGATTTTATGTAATAAAATAAAATTACATTGTTCTTTATTAATAATTATCAATAAAAGTGTCAGTGACACTTATTGTAATTATATAAATATTGAATATAAAGAAAGCTATAAATAATAATAAAAACTAATGTAAAATTATTTAAAGCAATGTGTAATTATATAATTATCAGTTTTTAATTATTAGTTTTTTAAAACAGTTTTATGTTGTTTTTGTTTGATTTAAATATTTTGATATCAGTTATTAAATCAAATTTTACAATCTAAKATTTGAGTAGTATATTAATATTATTAGTTTTTAAACAAGAAAACTATTTTTTTTAAATTTATCAATAAATAAAATAAAATAAACTTGTTATTTTTATTGAATATTTAAATAGATAATCAAAATAAATGTTTGAATAATAATAATAAATAATATTCAAAAAAAACTTGAAAAGTTTTGTTTTCTGAAATCTATACGAGCCTTTTTTGTGTGTGTGTGTGTAGCATTTTTTTTGCGAATTTTGAAATTCTGACTTCAGATTCGGTTAGAGGACTACTAATAATGTATTGAAAAGTTGCATTAAAATTTTGATATCTCTTCGGGAACATATAGAAAATGGCGGCCAAAGTAAAGAAAATTTTAAGAAAAAATATTTTAAGTATAAATTTGAATAGAGCATCAAAAGCAAGCATAAAAATATGCATTAAAATTTTGATATCTCTTCGGGAACATAGAGAAAATGGCGGCCAAAATAAAAAAAAATTTAGGTAAAATTTTTAACGTTTAGAATTGTATAGAGCATCAAAAATAAGATATAATAAATTAAAATTATTTTTTTTATTTTTTTAAAAATGGCGGCCAAAGTAAAAAAATTTAGGTAAAAATTTTAACGTTTAGAATTGTATAGAGCATCAAAAATAAGATATAATAAATTAAAATTATTTTTTTAAAAAAAATGGTGACAAATGTATAAAAAATTAAGGTAAATTTTAGCGCTTAGAATTGTATATAGTATTAAAAATAAGATATAATAGATTAAAATTATATTAATTTTTAAAAAAATGGCAGCAAAAGTATGATTTTAACTGTTTATTTTGTTATACTAAATCATTTAATACCAAACATGATTATATTTGTTTATTTCATTATATTAATCATCTGATACCCTACATGACTATAGTTGTTTTGTTTGTCATTCCGAGTCATTAGATACCCTACATGACTATGGTTGTTTATTTTGTCATACCGAATCATTTGATACCATACATGACTATAGTTGTTTATTTTGTCATACCGAATCATTTGATACCATACATGACTATGGTTGTTTATTTTGTCATACCGAATCATTTGATACCATACATGACTATAGTTGAGTTTATTTTGTCATTCCGAGTCATTTGATGCCCTACATGACTATAGTTGAGTTTTGTTTGTCATTCCGAGTCATTTGATACCCTACATGACTATGGTTGAGTTTATTTTGTCATACCGAGTCATTTGATACCCTGCATGACTATAGTTGAGTTTTGTTTGTCATTCCGAGTCATTTGATATCCTACATGACTATGGTTGTTTATTTTGTCATACCGAATCATTTGATACCATACATGACTATAGTTGAGTTTATTTTGTCATTCCGAGTCATTTGATGCCCTACATGACTATAGTTGAGTTTTGTTTGTCATTCCGAGTCATTTGATACCCTACATGACTATGGTTGAGTTTATTTTGTCATACCGAATCATTTGATACCATACATGACTATAGTTGAGTTTATTTTGTCATTCCGAGTCATTTGATGCCCTACATGACTATAGTTGAGTTTTGTTTGTCATTCCGAGTCATTTGATACCCTACATGACTATGGTTGAGTTTATTTTGTCATACCGAGTCATTTGATACCCTGCATGACTATAGTTGAGTTTATTTTGTCATTCCGAGTCATTTGATGCCCTACATGACTATAGTTGAGTTTTGTTTGTCATACCGAATCATTTGATACCATACATGACTATGGTTGTTTATTTTGTCATACCGAATCATTTGATACCATACATGACTATAGTTGAGTTTATTTTGTCATACCGAATCATTTGATACCATACATGATTATAGTTGAGTTTATTTTGTCATTCCGAGTCATTTGATACCCTACATGACTATGGTTGAGTTTATTTTGTCATACCGAGTCATTAGATAACCTACATAACATTATTTAAATTATGTATATTTTACCAGTTTTTTATTTTTGTTACTATATAAATTAATACTATATAATTATACAAACTATTTGGTTTCAACATATTTATGATATTCAAGTTTTTTTTTCTAATAATGCTTTCTAGCATTCTTAACTGGTTTATTTTGTTTATTATTTTTAACCATTAATGAGTTCATATAATTATAGTTATTCACTAAATTTACATTATTACTATTTTGATTTGTTTATAAAATATTGTAAATTACCTTGTAAAATATCATTTATTTGTTTTATTAAGGTCTAGATAATAATTATAGTAATAAATATATTGTTAACATCAATTAATCCCTATTGAATTATTATTATAGATTATATAAAAAATATTGTATATATTATTACCTTGCACATTATTTATTTATTTATTTAATATTTGTTTTTTATCACTAAATATACATTATTATAATACTGTAAATGTAGTGTATATGTCATTGTCAAATAATTTATATAATTGCAATTAAATGCTAATTAGAAAGTGTCACAATTGACTAATCATTATTTATTGATAAATAAACAACAACAACAAAAATAAATATAATTTAACAAATTAATTTATTATACTAATAAATTAATATACAAATTTCTCAATAATCAATATACATTTTTTTTAAAAATATTATCTGCAACAAAAATATACACTTAATAATTACATATAATTAGCATAAATACTGTATTGAATAGTGTGACCAATGTCTAGGGCCATATCACGCTGAAAGCACCGGTTCTCGTTTGATCACCGAAGTTAAGCAGCCGAGAGCCCGGTTAGTACTTGGGAGGGACACCACCTGGGAATACCGGGTGTCCTAGACACTTTTTGTTGTTTTATAATTTTTAAAGTACTAACCGGGCTCTCGGCTGCTTAACTTCGGTGATCAAACGAGAACCGGTGCTTTCAGCGTGATATGGCCCTAGACATTGGTCACAGTAGTCTATGACTATTTATGACAAACACTATAAACTAGAAATTTAGCCAAAAATAAGTATAATATACTTAACAATTTGAAATACAATACAAATAAAAATTATTATAACTATAGTATTGTTTGTCAGCTAAGGAAATATTGTAGGTTTCAAAAAAAAAAATTATCAATTGATTGGGACATTCATCACATACTTAAAAAGGAAATGTATGTAAATGTGTGTTGTGTTGATGTTATAAACTTATGATAATTGCATCGGACTATTGGTTGTGTGTATCAAATAAATCATACATTTATCGCATATTTATATTACAGAAATCAATACAAAACAAACAAAAACTTTTATAACAAAAAACTTTTACCAAAAAAAATCATTTAAAAAAAGTTGACGTAATTTATGACAAATACATCTATTGTTTTATTATACAACAATCGACTCGTGCGTATGTTTTGTGACCAACAATCTGGTCGGCGGTCACTTCGGTAATTGTTTTCTCATAAAGCTATGACTAACTTATTGGTGACCACTTCGGCTAATTGTATGGACAACTGGTTTGATCTGTCCTAACAGTGTTAATAATATCGACACACAGTGTGTATGTGTTTGTGAAGTATCGATAGTATCGGTAATCGGAGTCAACACTAACGCCATCGACAGCAATGTCGGCGACAATACTGTGAAACACACAACAAATATACGGGTCTTTTATATATCTATAGCGGTAGTGACCACCGAAAGTGGACACTAGGCTGACATATACTGTCTGTGTGTTTATGTATGCCAACAGTTTGTCTCATCTGATCCTCAGATCGCTGTAATCTTAACGGACAATAGCTGTCAACCGTCAGTGACGACATCGGCAACTGTCACCCGCGCGACACGTGTCATACCATTTTGCACGCACTCGGCTGTGTTGTGGACATATAATTGCATTTTGTTTAATCTGGTGTTGACCTATTGGTAATGGCAGTGGTCCAGTGTGTGGTTGATATTTCGCCGAAAATGGGTTTACCGCACGCATCAAACGACTGGCCCACTAATGGTGGCGATGACAGCGGCGGTGGCGTCAGTGGTGGCGCCGGTATTGTCTCTGTCAACAATTTGAATGCATTGGCGGGAGTAGGTCTGGCCAATCTCGGCAACACCTGTTACCAAAATTGTGTGTTTCAGTGTCTGCTAAACGACAAACACTTTGTTTCACAGTTGTCGCCGAAATCGACTTCAACGGACACTAATCATAAGGTTACAAATGGTATCACTGATGACACTGACGAAGATTCAATCGCCAATCAGTTCCTGCATTTACTTCAGTCGTATCGGTCGCAAACGTGTGGCGCTATTCGTCCCGAAGGCATACGCGACTCTATGTTTAAAAGACATGTGACTTTGGCCGACGGCCGACAACATGACGCCCAAGAGTTTTTAGCACTACTGTTGGACGCTCTGAATGAACAATTAAATTGTTATAATCATTTGATAGCAGACATTCAGCCGCCGATTAAAAAACAAAAAGTGTGCGACACTACAGACGGAGTGTCGCCACCCGTGTCGTCATCATTAACTAACTCTTCTTGTGTTGTGGACGTCTTTCAGGGCCAACTCTGTTCCCGTGTTGTTTGTGATGTCTGTCACAATACGAGTCAAACGTTTGAGGCCTTCATGTATTTGGCGCTTCCGTTACCCGTTGTCTTACAAAAGCAACTGGTGGTTACATTTACACCACTGACTGGTCCATCCACTCGACTGCTCATTACTGTCGACAACAAATACGATTCGTGCGTACAAATGAAGACCAAAGTCCGACAAAAACTTTTGCTCGACTCTATTAGCGACGATCAACTGGTAATAGCCGAGGCCAGCGGTTATCATGTGACCAGAATTATCGACGATTCGGAAGACGTTCTCACATTCAATGAAAGTCAATCTGAGATCCATATCTTTCAACTAAACGAGTCCATCACTAATATGTCCGATTGTATCGAAACTGATACTTGTGTTATCTGTAAGTTTTATTGTCTGCAATTCTTTTAAGACGTTTCTTCTAAGTTGTCTTCTATTGTCATCAATAGGTTTAGAAGATAAGCCCATTCGTTGTTTGCTAAGACACCCGGGATATTGTGCTGCACTTATATGCGAGTCATGTCTTGAACATACAATTAAATACTATACCGAAGATTGTCCCCAAAAAGTATTTTCCTGTTTCTCCTGTCATATGGATGTCAGCAAAAATCAGTTCACCGAATGCCAGCCAATGGTTGAGAGGTATGTATCCTATGAGTTGTTGTTAAGATGTTATCATCGATTTATTTATTTATTTATTGTATAAAAATAGATGTTTTTGTATACCTCTAATATTTCGCTCCGATTCTCAACTTGTGTTTGGTATCCGACTCTTGAGAGTCACCCAACAAATGGATGCAAACGCATTGTACTCATTGGTCGACTCTCGAGTATTTAATCCGGAATACACGTATCGACTATTATTTACCGAACGTAACGGAATCGGTATAACATTTTTTATATACAAAAAAATGTTTAATTTTATTCTAACATACGTTACCTTAATTCTTGAGGTTGTTGTCGATGTGCGTGGGGTTCAGATTGTGAGGGTTGTGAAGTGAGTCGCGACGGTTTCATATACTTGTCTGAAGCCGACACCCTATGTGTATGTTTGGAGCCAATGATACCATTAGTACCATCGATGGAGATCACAAAAGATGAGTCGCTTAAAGAGCTGATTGTCGAAGAGTCAAAGAAACTGAATCTCGAAGACTGTTTGAAGGCATTTATTGCCAACGAATGTCTCAACGATTTAGATGATAATCTATGGTTTTGTAATAAGTGTGAAACACTGAGACCGGCCACCAAATCGTTACACATCATGTCTTCCCCGAAGACACTAATTGTTTATTTGAAACGTTTCTTGTTTGTTGCTAATACCTGTCACAAACTGTCCGAAAATGTCGACTTTCCCATCGATAAAGTTTTGGATATGAGTGAACTGGTATTAAACAATAAAAAGCCTTTACTTTACCGGCTTTCGGCAATTGTTTGTCATACGGGTACCGCACAGACTGGCCATTACACGGCTTACGTTCGCGACGAGACCAACGATCGATGGCTACACTATAACGACGATTTGGTCACTTGTGAAGAACCAGTCGATAGTGACTATAGGGCTTACATATTATTTTACAATCGTATTGAAGAGGAACAGTCACTTGTTATTAATGACAATAACAAGAAATAGTATTTAAAACAATACGACAAAACCAAAAACAGTTATCAATTTAATATTACACTACCTTTCCTTCCCATCCAATCGCTTCTCAATCACTCATTAATCAAATGTCACAATTACTGTACTATTATTAAACAAACAAAAAACAAGTTTTATTTTTTTCAATTTTGATTTTTTATATGATGTATATTGTATTTGTATAATACAGTAGTACTTTGTTTTTTGTTTCTCATATCATTGGGTTTGTAATATCTGTTAGTTATTATTGTAATTGTTTTAATTTAAACAAATATTTAAAACATTTGAAAATGTCATCAATTATTTTTATGATAATAATTGATATAAACATAACCATATATCTCTTTTATCAATGCTAAGCTAATGAACAGTTATTTTATGCATGTTATTAAATACTGTATTTTAAATATTGAATAAATTAGCCAAGAATATATATACTGTATACCGGTATATATATATATATATAWATCTCTTTAAAAACTGTATTATCAAATTGTTTGAATAATTAACAAAGTGATTGTTTTTTAAATAAGTTATTATTATGTGGAGAATATCAACATATGTTGCTCTCAATTGATACAATGTTTTATTGATAATTAATAGTTATATATATATATAATTTAACTAAATTATAAAAATCATTTACTAACTATAAAATTGTCATTTGTTTTTTATGCATAACTATTAAAATTAAACTTAAAAATTTAATTATAATAATGAATAAATTAATTGAATTTTGTATTATTTATTGTTTTTGATTTTGCAATTATCGTCTCATCCGACATATCGGTGGACATGTGTGTCAAAAATCCTATCATCGGATTGGCTAAAGATTTTATAAATGACCAAAATTACGGTAAAACTAGCGAAGTGTACACTTTTGTAGTGGTCTATCATTCTTGACATAAATAAAACAAATGTTAAGCATTTTTATTGATCACCGAATCCATAGTATCGGCAAAAGTGGTCAACAAACGGGTCGATTCAATAGTTGTGGAAAAATCTAGTCATTTGCAATACAGACAATAAAACTATAATTTATTTGTTATTAATATGGATAAATGTTCTGGATAATTTACAATAATAATAATAATAATAATAGTAAATGTAATTTGTTAGAAATATTGTATAAACTTGAAAAATGACATTGCTAATTAGTAGTTACTAACAAAAATTTCAATAAAAGCACCTTGCTCATTTAAAATATCTCATTAAAATAATTAAAGAATTTGAACAAATCATCAATTATTATAATATMTACTCTTTTATAACATTCAAATATGTATCAAATTATCTGTTTTTCTAATATAAGTAATAAGTTATTATTAGTGCTGTAATAACAGTCAAACATTTAAAACTTTTAATTTAAAACTTTTGTCTATTATTTAAATAACATTTTATTAATATTATTAATACAAAACACATTTTCATAAACAATGTTATTTATTTCATCGACAAAAATATCCCCCATTTGTTTAATATTAAAGTTTTGATTATTTATTGTATTAATACTGTATTGTTGTTATCATAGCTTAAGCCTTATATTATAAACTACTGTAATATAACTTTGTTTATGAATAGTCTGTAAAAATACTGATTCATTGAATGAGTGCAATGACTGACTGATTGAATGTTTGTTTGATTTTTTGAGCAAAAAATGTTTACAAATTGAATGTCAAACACAACACAAACAGTCAAACAATAAGTTTTATTATAGTATTAGTTGTGTTGTCAATGATATCATTGTTTTRGACAYACATTAMGATTGTCTTTCAGTTTATAACAAAACAARTTATATMTATATTATAGATATGAGTGAAGACTTTGATGACAATAGCGGTGATCATTTGAACGGCAAAGAAGTATTRGTCGGAAACAATAACAACTGTATTGTCAGCGGCGGTGGTGTCGGCGGCAAYGGAAAAGATGTGGACAAAGACGACAGGGATATGGATGTGGAGGATATGGGGGGMGTCGGCAATGGGGGCGACTTATTAACTCAAGACGTGGACTCACGCGACGGCCAACCGAAGGACAGACAGGAGAAGACGTTTGTGTTGAAGAAGTGGAACTGTTGTGCGATGTGGTCGTGGGATTGCGAGTGCGACACATGTGCCATATGTCGTGTCCAAGTGATGGACGCATGTCTTCGCTGCCAATCAGACAACCGTTCCGACGACTGTGTTGTCGTTTGGGGCGAATGTAACCACTCTTTYCACAACTGCTGTATGTCTTTATGGGTTCAACAGAACAATAGGTGTCCACTCTGTCAACAGGACTGGATTGTACAGCGAATCGGCAAATGATATACCAATCAAACACATAATGATTGATCGGATTGTTATTTATTATGACTAATATATCCATAAAATCATATTTTTCTTACTATTATTTGTTAATTAATTGAAATATAAGACTATATCTAAGCGATTGATGACATTTATAGTCAAATTGTATCCATATTTTATTATTATATATCATAGATATCTAACATTTATTGGAAAATGTCTGAAAAAATCATATTAATAACAATTATTTAAATAATTTATTAATAATAAAAAATAGTGCTTAAATAAATGTTTTAATAATTAAATAAACATTAACATTATCAAATAAAATTAATACAATCATAATTTTATTTGTAATAAATGCTATTTCAAATAACTTTCCCAAATTCAGTTTAATACAGTTTCAATAACAGTTAAACAATTTACAGTTTAATACAATAAAATTCGCTAATTTTCGGCTTTGATTAATACTAAAAATACCTTATAGTTTGTATATCGGTATAAATTTATAAAGATTTTAGTGTTAAATAAATATAATTGTCGCCATAATAACCAAACAAATACAATACTGATTGTATGATTTTGACAATTGGTGAAAAAAGTTAATTGTTTAATAAATATTTTATTTAATCACATTTTACACGTGAACTATATTAAGAGACTATATAAAAATATATAATATGACAAATATTATTCAATATTAATTATGTAATTATTTTAAGATATTATTTTTTATTATTATTATTTCGTATAATAGTAATAGTATTCAATAGATTTTCTCATTATTGGAATAATACGGAAATGTATGGATAAATAATGAAGTTTAACGATAGCAATAAATGACACAATTTTTTATACTTAAAATTTACTTTATTTTACGTATAATCCTATATTTATTCTCAGAAATAATATTATTTTTTTATTGATAAACAAAAACTTTTATTTTCTGGTTTATACATTGCCTTAAAGCTATTATCTGAACTAAACATTATTAATATTCAAATCATGGCTTTTATTATTAAGACAACTAGTTATTCAGTGCCTATGCTTTGAGGTAATGTGTTAGTTATGTGGATATTACTTATCATTATATTTTTAAAAAATACTTATATATTATATTATAATATAATTGATTTATAATTAATAAAAGCTTACAAAAAAATATTTTACAGTTTAAATTATTATAATATTATAAATTTAAATAATTATGGTTTTATAAATAATGTATAATAACAAGTGTGATTGCATAGTTTTTTGTGGATAAAGTAATTACTTTTTTGTTCAATTAAACAATATTTTAATATTTTTTGGGTTTTTATAAAATTCTAAGTTAATAATCAATATTATCTTTATCAATCAATAATATCTAAATTTGGCATTTTTTAATAATTTGATTTTTATAAATTTTTAGAAACATGTTTATTAAATACTAATATATAATAAATGAATATTAATTAATTAAAATTATATTTTATAATATAAATATAAGACTTTTGTCTTTTTATATATTCAGAAAATTATGAATTTATTAAACATCTTTATTATTTGTTTATATGAATATATAAATATACTAAATAATTAATGTTAATGGTAATTATGTTTTACATTATTTTTTTGAGTATTTAATTGCTTTGTGAAATAAATCAATAAAAACAACAATATCATATTAATAGGAAGCAATTATATCTATGATTTATATTATTATCAATAATATTTGTCAATTAATTATAAATGTTAAAGCAAATGCTACTAAATTTTATAATCATATATTGGTTAAGCAAAAAATAAATAACTTAAAGTTATATAATCAGATATAGACATAAATGTATAACAAAATTATTTGAAATACAATTTATAATAAATTGAGGTTATCTTAATTAATTAAACTTATATATTGTATAATAGTATTATAAGTGATACGGTATATATTTGTGTGTTAGCCGTCTAGTGATACTTTATGTACAACATAACAACATAAATAGGATTATAATTATATAATTAATTTGAATTATAAACAAAAATTACAATTAAAACTAAATTTATATAGGGATAGAAAAGATCAATTATGTATAGTACACATTGCTATTAGTTATTTTTCTAATTTATACTATTTTTATAAATTTGTGAATAATTAAATTAGAAACATTAATTTTTTATTTAATATTTATGCGTTAAATATCATACTAAATATTTACATACTAATTAATATAATGATTAAAAATAACCACTAGCTCTTAAACTCAATTAATAAATTTAGTAATAATTAGATTTAAAATATCAATATTACAATCAATTAATAAATAAATAAGATAAAAAATTTTAATTCAAAAATTGTAAAATGCAAAATTATTTTTAACATAATTTGCTAAATAAGTACATACTAACTAAGTACAGAGGGACTCATAACTTTATTTTTTCTATTATTATAAATAAAAAATTATCATTTTATCATAAAATAATAGTATTAGGCGTTGTTCACATATTACGTTCGCAGTTTTTAAAAAATCTAGACCCCCTCCCCCCCTATGTTCGCAATTGTTCGCATGTAATGATATTTAAAAATTACGTTCGCATGTCCTTAACCCCCCACCATTTAAATAAATATTTTATAAAATTATTTTCACTTTTAAAATAATCAAATAATAAAATAAATTAATATTATTCAAAAGTAATATATTTATTCAAAATTAGTTATTAAACCGTTTATCAAAGGATTAAGTTTACTCAAAATTAATCCCTTAAATTCATTCATTATTTAAATGCGAACGTTCTTATAGACTTTACCCCCTCCCCCTCGTTCGCAAAAGTTCGCTTTGGCAGACCCCCCTCCCCTCAAGTGCGAACGTAATATGTGAACAACGCCTTATTCCTTTTATAGATAAAGCTTAAAAACTTAATGTCTAAATAAACCGGTAATTAAAAATGTTAAAAATCAAAATATGATAATATAACAAAACAAAATACAGTATATCTAGAAAATAAATTAAATATTTAATAGATAATATGTACTTCTCAATATAATATTTATTAATTTGATATTAATTTGATATTAATTTGATATTAATTTGATATTAATTTGATATTAATTTGATATTAATTTGATATTAATTTGATATTAATTTGATATTAATTTAATATTAATTTGATATTAATTTGATATTAATTTAATATTAATTTGATATTAATTATAATTGTATACAATAATTATTACTAATTTTTTAATTATTATATGCAAAATATATTAATTTATAAGTATAAATTTAACAAGTAAATATATATATAGCATTATTATACAAAAAATTACTATGGATAACTTTCAATTATTATATTTAAATAATAAACTAGAAAATAATTATTTACTAAATTTATTTTATTTGTAGATATTATCAATTTATTTTTAAAATATAATTTACAAACAAAAATATAATTAATTTAATATTATTTTTTGTTAAGTTTTTCAATTGACTTCATTTCTTCGTCAGTCAATTTAAAACCAAAAACATTGATATTTTCCTTAATATACTTATCAGTCTTTGAGTTGGGAATAACGATAACATTCCTCTGGATCTCAAACCGAAGAGCCACTTGAGCGGTGGACACATTATGTTTGGCAGCAATTTCGACCATCTTTTTGTCTTTGAGTAGACCCGGATAAGTAGGTCCACCCAATGGTGACCACGCAGTTATAGCTATCTTATGTTTTTTGGCGAAGTCCAACATTGTGTGCTGATTTTGGTACGGATTGCATATGATTTGGTTGACGACCGGTACAACACCTTTAGCCATCACTTGGTTGAGCTGATGTTCATCAAAATTGGATACACCTATGGCTCGGGTGAGGTTCTGCTTCAAAACTTCAATCATACCCTCCCACGTCTCGACCCAATTCTCGTGCGGATAGTGTATGAGATAGAGATCCAGATATTTAACGCCTAAATTAGCCAACGATTCTTTGATGCCTTTGTGTACTTTACTGCGCGAGTGATAGTCGTTCTCCAATTTACTTGTGATAAACAGGTCCTCTCTTTTGATTTTATTTTCGTACTCTTTGAGCACTTTTCCAATGATATGCTCAGACTGTCCATAGTTTAATGAAGTATCGATGTGACGGTAGCCGGCGATAAGTGCGTCCCTAACCGACTGTTCAGTCACATGTCCGGCGCCATAGCCAACGATCGGCATCTTTACGCCATTATTTAGCGTAACTGTCGGCACATCTATTGCCATAAGTGTGCTGAAAGCACAGGTAAGGGTTAGGACTACTGATACGAGCATTGTATTTGAAACTAATTAACAGTTATATAATTATATGAAACTATGAATATTTTTATTGAAAGTCTTTTTCTTTTATAGACTATTATTATAAGTAAAAAATTTTGTTATAAGAGATAAAGAAAAATGTACATAAAAATAATAATGTGATAAAATATGATTAATTATTTGTATATTATTTAATCAATAATACTTGAGAAATATTGGTTAATATACTGTATATTTAATAAACAATGTGTAATATTGACATAAATTTGTAATAATACTAATGATAAAAATAGTTATTATTTAATTATATTTATAAGATATAAAATATTTTTATATATGATGATAATTTACAATTATATTTAGAAATATTTCATTGAAAAATGTAATAATTTAATTACTAATTAGCTTTAAATTGAAATATTTCACTTTCTCAAAATTTTATATTATCTTTCAATAACTACGGATCTATTTATGGGTCAACCCTTTGACTCTAATTACTATATTTACAGCACATATCAAATATTGACAACAATTTTCATACAATTAATATATGTTTGTGATTTACGACTACAACAAACTATACTAAAAATTGTATTGCAATTTCATTTTTAAATAATATAATTATTATAATAATACAATAAATTTTTATGTATTGATGATTCTACAAAAATATTCATTAAAAGTTCATCAAATGTTTTGGTTATTTAGTAATAAAAAAATATTATTATAATTATCAATTTATTATAAATTTATTCTTTACTTTTTATATAATATTAAATATAATTAAATAATTTACAGAATATATTTGATGTGGTATTAAACAAATTCAATTGACTGAAATGGCTAAGAGATTAGCTATAAATTTATATTAAACTTAAAAATTTCTTAGTCTTTTCCGTCCAAAGAACAAGTTTATCGTAAAATTAAAAAATTATTATTTCTGTTAAAATAAATAAAATATTTTATAATACCAATAGTGATTTTAAATTTTTTTGAGACACTTGTATTTATAACGGATTTTTAGACATCATTTAATTGACACTATTAAATGATAGGTATCTGTAAAATAAAAAAAATTTTTAATACATTTCAATTAAATACAGTATTTTACTAATAAAATAATTATAATAAATATTGTTTAATATTTATTTTGCATATTGAATATAAAATTTTTAGTTAATATTAAAATTAGGAAAATTTTAACACTTTAACAAACAAATTAATTTTCATATTTATAATTTAGTAATAAATAAAATTATTATTTGTGTATTAATAATATGTCAATGATAATAAAAAAATCCATGTTAATTTATCATAATTATTCACATAGTCTATCAATATTTAAAAATATTTTTGATACCAATATCATGAAGAGTGTCAGTTATTTTATAATACATATTGTTATAAGTAGTCAGTGCCATTGCAATGATATACTGATTAATGTTTTAAAGCTATAATTATTTCAATACAAAAGTGATTTTTGTTTGTGTTTAAATTTACTAAAGTGAATTTAACACAACGCTTAGTTTTATTTTTATTTAATTAATTATATTTGCAAACCAATGTTTGCTTAATACTAAAATCTAGAATTCACTTTTAAAAATGTATTTAAGTGTTTTACAGAAAAGTGAATAGTAAACACCTACTTTTAAGCAAAGTTTTGTTTTATTTTTATTTAGTATTTCACTGTTAAAATAATGCATTGAAATGTTATACAGAACAGTGAGTAGTAAACTCCTACTTTTAAGCAAAGTTTTATTTTATTTTTACTCTGTATTTCACAGTTAAAATAATGTATTGAAATGTTATACAGAAAAATGAATAGTTTACGCCCAGGGATTAAAGCTGACTCAATACGACCTGATTATTTCTCACGTACACTTTAGTATAAATAGAGGTGTCTTTCAGACACCAAAGTGGGTTCTCTTCTGAGATCAGTTCTCAGTTCTCTTCGGAGATCTCTTCGGAGTTTCTCTGGGAGTACTACAATGTATAACTGTTTATAAGATGAAATAAAAGTATTTGCATATTACTTTGTGTGTATTACTTACTCGTCGCGGCTGGTGGTCTTGGATTGCGTCATGGATTACACTATCGATGTTATACTGATGAAAGCTGACCGCAAGAAAGATTACATCATGGATAACATTATCGATTGAGTCATGGAAGTACACCATGGATTACGTCATGGATGGTATTATGGATCACATATGGCTTCACTACAGGCCCATTGGTCCTACAGGCTCAACAGTCCTATAGGATACAGTTAACATAAAGGATAGCAATCGAACGCCGCGTCGATGGGAGTCGTCCACTTATTACGTAAGCGAATACTATATAGAAGGGAACTCCGGTACTGTGTCCGCTACACGGTAGGATCTGACTGGTCCGACCAAAGACAAGTGTTGACACGTGATGACGTTGAGTAAACCTTATCATTGAGTAACCTATTATAAGCTATGCAAAAGTAAGCGCTATGATAGGTTAACTCAGATATAGTAATAAGTCACAAGACAAACTGGTCAACTGTTATACTGACCACCTGGTCCACTGACCAAGGTCGAAGGTCGAAGGTCAGAGGTCAGAGGTCAGAGGTCAGAGGTCAGAGGTCAGAGGTCAGAGGTCAGAGGTCAGAGGTCAGAGGTCAGAGGTCAAGGTCACATGTCCAAGGTCAAGGTCACTCGTCCAAGGTCAAGGTCACACGTCCAAGGTCAAGGTCACATGTCCAAGGTCAAGGTCACCTATACAAGGTCAAGGTCATCGAGATCTGGAAATCGGGTTTTATGTACTGATACCAATGGTACTTGTTGGAGACCAGTATGACAAGTAGTTATGGAGATATCAAGGAAAACATGTTTACTAAACAGACCTTAAAACTAGACTTTGTACCAATCAGTTGGATATCCGTACGGTAGTATTATACGGATAGTTTATGCAAGAAACAGCATAAACTAAAACAGTCGGTCGACTAAATACACAAATCAACACATATAGCTTTGTACACAACCAGTGATAGGAGATCCGCTCGCTCCTTAAGCCACATACCGTTACAGTTAATAATGCTGGTACGTGCAGGGCAAAGTAAGGGCTTAATCTTTAAGTAATAGTAGGGTTTACATCACGGGTTAGTGGACACTCATAGTGTTCACATATAAAATAGACCCGTGATAACCCCACTTCCCTTGCATTTGGTGGCAGCGTTGGAGGATTTCGAATACCCAAAAGAAACAATACGTATATACCAAATGTCCCTTACATTTGGTTTCAGCGATGGTGGGATGCGATATTCCACAAAAAAAACACAACACGCTTAACCACATGTTCCTTACACTTGGTTACATCGTTGGAGGATACGAAATCCTAAAAGAAACAAAATACGTTTTAACCTAATGTTGCTTACATTTGGTGGAAGCAGTGGAGGATGCAAATTTCCACAAAATACAAATTTATGGATTCACCGATATGTTATACAAACTACTGAAATGAACTAACCAAATATCCGAATAATACGTAATTACTAGAGACGTATAAACCAAAAGTCACTCGCATTTGGTGACAGTACTAAAGAATTTGAATAAAAGAGATTAACATAACCAGACTGGCGCTGAGTCCGAGCCATATGGCTTTGGGCGTAGCTGGTATATACATACATTGAACTTCAACCTTTCGTCGTGGATCGAATATACTGATTAAAGCACATTGGTAATTTTTAAACCGTTTACATAATTTGGTTAAATCAGTATAGCTATACATTTGGTATATCGGTTATACATTCACGTATGTTATCGGACACATAGTTTATGACAAAACGCTAGTCTATGGGACGTGAGGCATAGTTCTATTGCACTCCCAAAATACAAAGCAAAGTAATCATAAACTATAGAACTCTATTGTAGTGGCCGATAGCGCTGTGTATACATGTATCACTGCTTATATTCAATACATTATACTGAACTGATAAACCATTTTATGTACTCAACGCTCATTTAAACGCATGAGCATCAAGATGAAGCCAACACCTAACAACCACACTACGTTAAAACATAAGTAATTATTTTAATAATGGCTGACAATAACGATACCATACAACTTGTCATGAGAATAGTAAATGTAAACACGAATGCTACGAAGCCATCTACTGGTACATCAAAGCAAACTACATTTCACGTACTAGTTAATTTGGACCTGCTCTTATTTGGACTTGATGTTGGTATACGACTTGGTTTAACTGTAAACTTCAGCAGTCGTAACGTTACCGCTCGCATTATGTAAACATAGACGTGTTTTCACACAGCACGACACAGACATTTGAAGAATTCTAGTTGTTAAGCACAAGATTATTACGGTTTCGCAATTTGACTCAGTCCTTACCGCCGACATTAAAATGAATACGACGTCATTGTAAAAATGATTCGAGAGAAGGCAAAGGACGTAAAATTAAGAATAGCCAATATGCTTTCCTGGTTATTATGGTATCATAGAAAGACGGTGGAGAACAATTAAGCATAAATTATAGAAGACAACGATATTGCTATAGATGACAAATTGCGGATGACGAATCACTGAAGTGTTAGACCGCCTTAAGGCGCTCGTTATTTTAAAACACTTGATGTGACTTGGGGTTACTGGCATATCGAAATGGTTCAGACAACAGATTTTGGCACACATGAAAACCATAATGAATATCTGCTGACATATTAGATACTAAGATACGTGAAGAAAAACTAACATTAAAGAAAAAAGCTAAACATTATACAGCATTAACAAAGAAAGGTATTACATTTCTTTGGGGATCAAAACACGAAAAAACATTCAAAATACAATGAATGGGATTCAAAAGAGAAATAAAAGAAGTTTCATCAGACGAGATTTAATAGAAGAAGATAATCATGATTATTAGGAGATTTTAAAAGACAAATCCTAGAAGACTAACATGACAATGAGTAATCCGGAACTCAATTAGGATTTAGAAAGAGATAAAATTAAAGAATTTTTGAACTCACTGTGTAGTCAATCATAAGTTATTAAATAACTGAGTCATGTCAGTTAAATGAAGAAATGCTGCAGCTGATTGATACCATTAATTTATTTGAAATAATCGAAGTAGATAATTTGGGCCGTCGCTTCGAAATGGAATTTCAAAAATGAAAATTGATTGACCTAATTTATAAAAATGAAGACATAGTGAGAAAGCGTACAAACCTATTATAGAAAATGGTTTGTTGATGAAGTTCTGACGTGATATGGCGCCATAACGATAATACAGTTGGTCAGATACTTCATTGAAGATTTCATAAGAAATCTTAGATCCTCCATTTGCATACACCATATAATCAACAGTAAAATAAATTTGCGGAGAAAATTTGAAACTGTACATCGCAATTTTATCGATATATGGATGTGAAGACTAGTACCAATAAACGTATTTTTATAAAGTCCGCGTGTATTTGCTTTTGGTATTATTATTTGGAGGATGGAAGAGATTTGGTTCAAAGAAAAATAATGAATGCGTTTAACGATGATAAATCCCGTTATAGCGCTGACATCGCGATGTTACACACAAGGAGTAGATTTGGTGTCTCTACACAATCCTTCGGAGTAAGGTCTTAGTACCTATTTATGGAACCAATTGATAGGCCCATACATGATTAAGAAGCGGCAAATTTGTACACGACTGAGATGACAATTAAGAAAAAATTTAATTGTGTCGATCGACGAGTTTTACAATGCAATTACAAATAATTGAGAAGAATAGATCGCCGATAGAGGCAATTCAATGAGACTTAAATTTAATTTGACATTGACAACTTGAAGATGACAATTATGAATATAATTGTGTCGATCGACGAGACTTAAAATGGAATAGCAAAACATTAAGAAGAAAAGATCGCCGATAGAGGCAATTCAATGAGATATAGATTTCACATGACTTAGAAACCATGATGATGATAAATAAGAAAATTAATTAATTATGTCACTCGACGTGCTTTGCAATGAAATTACAGTACATTAAGATGAATAGAACGCCGATAGAGGCAATTCAATGAGATATAATGGGAATAAACAAGTGATCACTATTTAGAATTCTAAGTTATATAAGATGAGTAAAAAAGATTTTAATAAATGAATTTGTTATAGGAATCATAAGTTAAAGAATTCGTACATTAGAACATTTATAGGCCTATTAAAATGTATAATCGTACGCAATTTAAACCATTTGATTTGTTAAAACTATAACGTCATTAGTAAAATTTATATTTAGATTTTTAATAATTAAATTTAAAGATAGAGAAAGAGATAATTGTTAACATTAGTTGTTAATTAATAAATGTTATAAAGAAATAATAAATAATAATGGTCAACCAAACGACAACCTTGGCAGATATGGGTCAAGAATCAAGCACAAGAAGCCAACGGTTAATTAAAAATCGTATTACAGATGATTTCTGTTATTTGGCTAAACCATTTAAAGCAAATGAAATGAAAAGTTGGATAATCCAAGTATACATGTTAATTGAAACTTAAAAATTAATTAATTTCGTAAAATAAGTGGATAAAGATTTTATAATTATAATAAATTCTGAAAAATAAACTGGTGAATATGTAATAATCGATGACTTGAAGATGACTGCAATATTGTTTCAAGACATTCGCAATCGAAAGAAATTGGTATTAAATACCGAATATAGAGTCGATTTATTATGGATAACGATACGAAGACCACTACAAAATAATTTATCAACATAGTCCACTTTTATAAACTGATTGAAGCATAATTTAAGGAATCCTATGAAAAACAAGTTTATTATAAATAAGAAAAAACAAGATGACATTGGTGAATTTATCAAATATAGTTGGTTTATTATAAAATGAATAAACCGATACGAAGCTGAGTAAGAAATCGAATATTATATTGGTTGATAATGGGTATGAAGATGTTGACTAGAAATTACAAATAAAATGAATAATGAAAAAGACGATAACAAACAAACGGACAGATTGTACGTCATTAATTAAAATAGCTTAAATTTATTTATGTAATGCTTGAAATTTTGAAATTTGTAATTAGTTTATAAAAATTAATTGTAAACTATTGTGTACATGAGGGGTAGTTATGAACCAGACGTAATTTCTTAATTACGCATCTGAGGACAGATGCAGACTTGAAGGGGCGGAAGTGTTATAAGTAGTCAGTGCCATTGCAATGATATACTGATTAATGTTTTAAAGCTATAATTATTTCAATACAAAAGTGATTTTTGTTTGTGTTTAAATTTACTAAAGTGAATTTAACACAACGCTTAGTTTTATTTTTATTTAATTAATTATATTTGCAAACCAATGTTTGCTTAATACTAAAATCTAGAATTCACTTTTAAAAATGTATTTAAGTGTTTTACAGAAAAGTGAATAGTAAACACCTACTTTTAAGCAAAGTTTTGTTTTATTTTTATTTAGTATTTCACTGTTAAAATAATGCATTGAAATGTTATACAGAACAGTGAGTAGTAAACTCCTACTTTTAAGCAAAGTTTTATTTTATTTTTACTCTGTATTTCACAGTTAAAATAATGTATTGAAATGTTATACAGAAAAATGAATAGTTTACGCCCAGGGATTAAAGCTGACTCAATACGACCTGATTATTTCTCACGTACACTTTAGTATAAATAGAGGTGTCTTTCAGACACCAAAGTGGGTTCTCTTCTGAGATCAGTTCTCAGTTCTCTTCGGAGATCTCTTCGGAGTTTCTCTGGGAGTACTACAATGTATAACTGTTTATAAGATGAAATAAAAGTATTTGCATATTACTTTGTGTGTATTACTTACTCGTCGCGGCTGGTGGTCTTGGATTGCGTCATGGATTACACTATCGATGTTATACTGATGAAAGCTGACCGCAAGAAAGATTACATCATGGATAACATTATCGATTGAGTCATGGAAGTACACCATGGATTACGTCATGGATGGTATTATGGATCACATATGGCTTCACTACAGGCCCATTGGTCCTACAGGCTCAACAGTCCTATAGGATACAGTTAACATAAAGGATAGCAATCGAACGCCGCGTCGATGGGAGTCGTCCACTTATTACGTAAGCGAATACTATATAGAAGGGAACTCCGGTACTGTGTCCGCTACACGGTAGGATCTGACTGGTCCGACCAAAGACAAGTGTTGACACGTGATGACGTTGAGTAAACCTTATCATTGAGTAACCTATTATAAGCTATGCAAAAGTAAGCGCTATGATAGGTTAACTCAGATATAGTAATAAGTCACAAGACAAACTGGTCAACTGTTATACTGACCACCTGGTCCACTGACCAAGGTCGAAGGTCGAAGGTCAGAGGTCAGAGGTCAGAGGTCAGAGGTCAGAGGTCAGAGGTCAGAGGTCAGAGGTCAGAGGTCAGAGGTCAGAGGTCAAGGTCACATGTCCAAGGTCAAGGTCACTCGTCCAAGGTCAAGGTCACACGTCCAAGGTCAAGGTCACATGTCCAAGGTCAAGGTCACCTATACAAGGTCAAGGTCATCGAGATCTGGAAATCGGGTTTTATGTACTGATACCAATGGTACTTGTTGGAGACCAGTATGACAAGTAGTTATGGAGATATCAAGGAAAACATGTTTACTAAACAGACCTTAAAACTAGACTTTGTACCAATCAGTTGGATATCCGTACGGTAGTATTATACGGATAGTTTATGCAAGAAACAGCATAAACTAAAACAGTCGGTCGACTAAATACACAAATCAACACATATAGCTTTGTACACAACCAGTGATAGGAGATCCGCTCGCTCCTTAAGCCACATACCGTTACAGTTAATAATGCTGGTACGTGCAGGGCAAAGTAAGGGCTTAATCTTTAAGTAATAGTAGGGTTTACATCACGGGTTAGTGGACACTCATAGTGTTCACATATAAAATAGACCCGTGATAACCCCACTTCCCTTGCAATATATTTTTAATATTTTATAAATAACAGTAATTATATGAATTTATTTATTTAAATACTGTTTGTATTGTAATAACGTATGTAAAGTACAGTATATGATGTTATAATAAAATATTTTGTTTTTATAATACTATTAATTGCCTAAAGCGTTAATTATATTTATATAAAATTGTTTAAGTTTTTATATTTAAATTAAACCTTCAATTTATTTTTCATTACATAAGCATATAAATTTATAAATTACAATAAGATAGATATCAGATTAAAAAAAGTAAATAAAATTCATCAATATAAAAAACATTTGTATATATATATGCAATTTTTATTTGAATATTAAATTAATATTTTCATTAAGAAATACTTGATTCATAAGATTTACAAACAAATTTAATCAGTAAAAATAAGTTTTAATGTATAGTAATTAGTTACAAAATAAAAATTTTTATGATTATTTTATTGAATGTTAATATAAATCACTGTTTTATCTTATTTGTATAACTACGGCAATAATAAAAAATTATAATTATGATATTTAAATATAAAAATAAAATTTAATTACCACTTAATCATATTTGCATACAAACAAATTGACACTGATTGATACTGTATATTTTGAGTAATACAAATTATGTAAAAAATAGAAAGATTTTAATTATATGATATCTTGCATTTTTAATGTGTTTATTAAACACTGTTTATTAATCTAAATAATGTTTTTAAAAAACAATTTAAAATATTTGTAAAAATATTAATTAATATTAAATTGATAATAAGTTTTAAAAAATAAGATTTAATAATCAATGAAAAAATGATGATTTAAATTCTCTCAGTATTATTATCCGTATCATTAAAACCTGATCCCATTGTTATGACAGCAACCGGTTCGGGTATTTTGCCGTCAGGAAAATACTTGTCAATAATGGGTTTCAACTTATTGATCATCTCTTTCTTTCTGGACTTTAAATAGTACAGCTCTGCATCGTTATTATTGTCCAACCATTTGGCCACTTCCTCCAGAGCCATGTCCACTATCTGTCTGTCCTCTTGACTGATGATTGCACCTAACTTTTCGGTCGGACTGAACACTTTGCGTGCATTATAGACATAGTATTCGAGATCATTGTAGGCTTCGACTCGTTCTTTGGCTTTACGGTCGACTGCTTTCTCTTTGATAGCTTCCCKTAGCTTTTGGTCAATTTCATCGGGTGTAAGACGAGTGTTATCATTATTAATGACTATATGTTTCTTTTTATGAGTGTCCTCATCTTCGGCGGTAACTTTGAGTATACCATTAGCATCGATCTCGAAAGTGACCTTAATTTTCGGTACATCTCGAGGTGCAGGAGGTATGCCATCCAACTGAAATTGACCCAACAGATGGTTATCCTTAGTAAGTGGTCGTTCCCCTTCATAGACTTTTATTAACACATTTTTCTGGTTGTCCTCAGCTGTAGTATAGGTTTTGGACACTTTGTGTGGCAATACATTATTTCTTGGTATAAGTTTACTCATTTCGCCTCCTTTTGTCTCAATGCCGAGAGTAAGTGGATTCACGTCCAGCAAAAGCATGTCTTTGATGTCACCCGTAAGAGTTCCCGCGTGAATGGACGCACCCATAGCGACGGCCTCATCGGGATTGACGCGTTGCAGCGGTTCTTTGCCATTGAAAAATTCAGTGACCAATTGTTGAATTTTCGGTATACGAGTGGAACCGCCAATCAATAAAATATCGTCCACTTTATCCTTTGAAACGCCCGCGTCGTTCAAAGCGTTCTTTAATGGCTTAAGTGTCGACCGAAACAAATCCATATTCAACTCTTCAAACTTGGCCCGAGTCAGCACATCCTGGAAATCTTCGCCATCGATGAGTGCCTCCACTTCAAGCTGTGTCTTATGGTTGGCACTAAGCAAACGCTTAGCTCTTTCTACTTCTCGTCGCAACTTTTGAAGACTTCTCTTATATCGTGCAATGTTTTTGCCCGTCTTTTTGCGATAAACTTCGACAAAATAGTCGACAACTCGCTGATTAAAATCTTCGCCGCCTAAATGTGTGTCACCGTTAGTGGCCAACACTTCGACAACTCCCTGATCTATCTGAAGCACCGATACGTCAAAAGTGCCGCCACCCAAATCAAACACCACTATTGTCCTCTCGTAGCCCTTTCTCTCGAATCCATAGGCAATGGCAGCCGCTGTCGGTTCGTTGACAATACGTAATACTTGGAGACCAGCTATGGCACCGGCGTCTTTAGTGGCTTGTCGTTGGGCGTCATTAAAATAGGCCGGAACTGTGATGACAGCGTGTGTAACACTGGAGCCCAAATAGGCTTCAGCTGTTTCCTTCATATACAACAACACCATTGCACTGATCTCTTGCGGTGAATAATCTTTGAGTCCGTTTTTAGTCTTTACTCTTATATAGGGTCTGTCATTGTTGTCAATCACTGTATAGTCAAAAGACACGAATATAATATAATATGTCATATAATTAATAAAAAAATAAATAAATCTTCAGATTTCATATTATTATTAACAACAAAAAATTACCTCTAAATGGATAGTATTTTATGTCCGATTGAACCATAGGATCAGTCCATTCGCGGCCAATCAAACGTTTGACATCGAAAACAGTGTTTTCAGAGTTTGAGGTCAACTGGTTTTTTGCCGCATCGCCCACAAGTCGGCGACCATCGGAGGTAAAGGCGGCGTACGAGGGAGTGATGCGATTGCCCTGGTCATTTGGGATTATCTCTATACGACTATTCACAAACACACCCACACATGAATAGGTGGTTCCCAAGTCTATACCAATAACTATACCGACGTCTCGTTTCTTAGCGGAACAATGATTATCATTGCACTGACCACTGATGACACTTACATATATTATTGTCAAATATGTCAACGAAACTACTAATTGATTTATTAATAGCATATTTATAGTTATTTATATAATACAATAATATTAATGATAACCATTAATATAACAGTAGTGTATAAAACAGTACTTTTGTCAATTTATTAATTGTTTTTTAGTATAATATTATTTTTATTTATAGTTAATTATTATATTATATAAAATAGTAAATTTATCAATAGGATAAAGAAAATATAATTATTAGTAAATTTATATTAAATAATATAAATAATAATAATTATACTAAATATACAGTAGACAGTGTGATATGGTTACTAACTGTATATTAAATAACTGTAAATTATTACAATTATTTTTTAAATAACAACCGACACATTTAATTCAAAGAAAAACATAGTGTTTATAGTTTTATTATTATTGATGCAATGTATAGATTGATAACAAATATTTATATAGTATTATATTTTATATTATATATTATTATTATTATTAACTAAATTTATATTAATACACCACAATATTAATATTTTATAGTAATAAATTATATTATTACTAATAATATATGTAATTTAATTATTAATTTAATTTTTTTAATTAATATAAAATTGTCTAAATTAAGTTATGATTATAATGTTTATGTATCAATAATATATAGTGATAGAGACTTAAACAGCGATGCTTTTAATTTCAATTATCTGGTCAACAATAAGCTGGATTTAAAAGTGACCAAGGGCAATGTTGTAGATAATTTTAAATTGGATAAGATTGTAATTGGTCATTTTTTAATTAATTATATTATTGGGCAGATAATTGCAGTCGACTATCATTTTTACAATTTTTTAAAGTCGACTGTATATTATATAGCCAATGATGCAATTAATTAAAAAATGACCAATTACAAACTTATCCAGTTTAAATTGATCTACAACATTGTCCTTGGTCACTTTTAAATCCAGCGTATTGTTGACCAGATAATTGAAATTAAAAGCATCGCCGCTGTCGTCGTCGGCGCCGATGTTTAAGACTCTCACATATATAGTATTGTCATATTAATAATGTTTAACTGATTCATACATACAATTTATGATTACAAGTTAGTAATTAATACTATAATAATAGGCTATATCTTACAATCAGACCGCATCAGACTCCCGACTCATAATGTTTTGTGAATATCTATTAAACTATATTTTTAATATAAAAATGACCACAAGTGGCAAAGTTATAGATAATTTTAGACTCAATATATTTATAATTAATTATTTTTTATTTACTCTTATGATTGGCCAGATAATTGCATCAGACCTCTTTTAACAGGTCTGATGCAATTATCTGGCCAATCATAAGAGTAAATAAAAAATAATTAATTATAAATATATCCAGTCTAAAATTATCTATAACTTTGCCACTTGTGGTCATTTTTATATTAAAAATATAGTTTAATAGATATTCACAAAACATTATGAGTCGGGAGTCTGATGCTGGTCTGATTTTAAGATAGAGCCATAATAATATCATAATATATGTGATATTATCAAATTATTTCATATAAACATTGCAATATTGTAAGTTACAATTATTGTAACTTAATATAATCTTACAATGTATACTATAAGTATATTCTAATAAAAAAATTAATAATATAATTTGATTATATACAGTAATACTATGATAAATTTATTAGTAGTATTTGCAGTACAGTATTAAATATACCTGTATAAGTTATTATACACCATTTTAAGTAAATATAATAATTATGTGAAAAATAGAGTTATATATTGTAATTCATAGTACAGTATAAAATAAATAAATTAAAAAATATTGTAGTTTAATATTATTATTTTTATTAAAATATAATTTTAATCAAGATATAGTAAACAAAATCAACTACATTATTTAAAAATATTTTAATAAAATAGCATGTTTTAAAATATATGTATATATCGGAAATAGAAAAATAATTGTATATAAAATATATATAAAAATAACAAAAAATATGAACATAAATGATATGATAAATGATTAAACTATAAAAGATTATATTATAATAATAAAAAATATATTAATATAAATGTATATAAAGATATAATATATCAAACAATTAATTATTGAATTAATCTAATCTTCTTAATAGTGGTGAGCATTGACATCATCTACTTCTTAGACATGTATTTATTGACGGAATCGGCAATCTTTTCAAACGTCTTGTCGGTCTCAAAGTCTTTAGCACCGGCTTCGACGGTCTCGAAGTTGAGCTTTCCTTCCATACCCTAAGTCAATGATAGACACCCAACAAATTATTTGGTAAGTCATATATACAGTGTGTATATAATCAAAAACATTATATAATTATAAGTAAAACATACCTTTTCGGGCAAGAAGTAGGCGTTTTTGATTTTTTCACTGATTTCTTCGGGAATCATTTCACTGGAAAAGTCGTACGGTTTGATGACGAGAACCTTACCATTAAATTTCATATACTTGGATAACACATCMATTTTCATCTTTTTGTATTTGTTTTTCATATTCAACCGATGAGTTGTGAACAGTTTTGCCCGTTTGAAACTATTGGTCAAAATGTCGTCCAAATCTTTGCCGCTCAACGACTTACCGCAGAACTCTTTAAGTTCGGCCGATATCTTCTCAAGTTTTGACTGTACATCAGTTTTAGTAGATATGTCTCGTTTGAGTTTGGCTTTCATTACATACGGCATGTCTTTTGTGATAATCGTTATAATAGTTTCCATCAAATAGTCATCAGTTATCATTTCTTCGTCGATGGTAACCTCTGAAAGCATATCAATAATGATAGCTTTGCCTACCGGTGCTTTCTTCAACATTTTCATGGCCAACAGTGCGCCGTAAAAGTGTCCCAATATATCATAGTCTCCTTTCGGCTCCAGAACTTTCATCAGATTAACGTAATAACGGTTAATCTCTTTAATCGTTTTGAGGCCTTCCATCTCTTTGATCCAATTAAGACCAATGACTGGACGTTCGAGCTTCTGAGCCAAACCTTCAAGAGAGGCGAATATGCCTTCCAATGGCGGCAAAAAGTAAATGGGTTTACCAGTGGTCACACTGTTCAGTCTGGTATATGGCTCGTTGGGTATAACAAACTTGACTTTACACAGTTTGGCTCTACAAGTCTTAATTTCATCAGCGAACTGTTTCATCTCTTCTACCTTTCCTTTCTCGAAGTCCTTCATCATACCAATGGTGATGTTTTTTATGTCATTCAACGTTACTTTAATGTTATATTCTCTTTCCAATCCCTGTTGCAGTTCCACTGCAAACATAGACTCCATACCGATCTCACCTAAAGTCAAGTGATTGGGTGTTGTCTTGGGATCGATACCCAGTGCCACCCAAACCTGATTCACAAGTTTGGACTCTTTAGTACCGCTCGTGATTTCACGCTTAGCTCTCATCTAAGTTAATGTTAATTCATGATTATATTGTAAGTCAATATTAATATTAAATTTTGTTTATATCTATAGACATACCAGACATGAGACAACAGCGCTGTCCGCTTGCAATAATTTATCCATTATTTCTAAACAAGAATTGATTCTCTGTTTCACAATAGCAGCCAAAGCTGTATTGATATCAGACTCAGCCAACACTCCGACATCACCGATAGGTCCCCATTGAATGGCCAGACCGTGTAGTCCATCTCTGCGTCGGGACTCACATATGCGCTCACAAACAGAATTGGCAAATCCATAATTAGATTGTCCGGCATTTCCTTTACCACAAGCGACGGACGAAAAGACAACAAAATAGTCTAAATCTATACTCAATTCACGTGTAATGCGATCCAAGTTCTCGAAGGTCTTAGTCTTAGAATCAATAGTTTCCTGAAATTTATCAAAAGTATGATTTTCAAGGAGACAGTCGTTGAGTACGAGAGCCAAATGGAAAACACCACCAATTGGTCCCATTTTCTGTGCTTCTCTTAATAAATCTTTAGTGCCCTCCGATGTGAACGAGTTATGTGTAGAAACAGATATCTGAGTTTCATAAAACTTGAATTTACTTCCCATAGAACCCAATCGTTCAACAATAAACTTTTGGTAATTATTTTTGATGCCATAACGAGATGTGACCACAAATTTTCGGGCGCCGAGGAATATCATCCAATGAACAAACTCAAGTCCAAAACCACCCAAACCTCCAGTAATAATATAAGTCTTATTCGGATTAAAATACGTCTTTTTGGTGACCATTATCTTCTTGGACGGCGTCAAAGCTGTTTTCGCCACTCGCATGTCCTCTTCGTCACGCATTTTGATAATCAATTTTCCGATGTGTTTGCCAGTAGTCATGAATCTGAAGGCTTTTTCCGCCTCGTCGGGCGTAAAGATATTTTTGGTGATCGGTCTAATCATACCGTTCTTACAGTTCGCGTGCATCCAATCAAAGAACTTCTTCGTCCATCCAGAGTTGAGGTATAGTTTTTGGTCGACCGACACACCGATGAATGAGATGTCTCTCAAAAACGAGAACATTCCCAACTGTTTATTCATTTGAAGATCATATTTGCCGATCTCAACAAAGCGACCGCAATCGGCAACACATTCATAACTGGCGTCTAGTTTATCGCCAGACAGTGAGTTCAGTACCAGATTAACTCCCTTTCCTTTAGTAATAGATTTTATTCTGTACTTGAATTGAGTGCTTCTGGAGTTCAATATTCTGTCTTCAGGAATATTAAACCTATCCATCAAAAATTTTTTCTTCTCATCCGTACCGACCGTCACAAAGATATCGCAGCCGTAGTACTGGCATATACTGATGGCTGCCTGACCCACACCACCGGCTCCCGAGTGTATCAAAATTGATTCACCTGTTTGTTTGAATTTTATTAATTATTTATATTTATTTATTTTTATAGTTAACAAAACATACCTTTCTCCATATGCGCTCTTTCGATGAGTCCATACCATACGGTACTATAGGTACTCAATACTGTGACTCCGTCCTCCATCGACCAGTTATCCGGGATGTGAGTAATTAAATTTTCGCTGGCAGTAAGCGATGTGGCAAAACATCGGCTAACATCAAAGCCAAAAATCCGCTCTCCTGTGTCCACCCGACGGCCAGCAAACTCGAAACCCATTAAACAATCGGTGAACAACATCTGCGGACCGGCAGCGATACGACCTATCATTATTAGACAACCAATTTTTTTAGACCCCATTTATCAGTAATTTTATTAACAGCTAACAACATACCTGTTGCAGTCATAACATCTCTAAAGTTAATACCAGAGCAATAGACATTGCAGGGTACCATTGCTACCGGATTGTTCGTGAAGTCATAGCACTTGTCGGCTTTTACCAGATTTTTGAGATCAAACCATTGAAGAGAAGCCAAATCACGGGTATGACCGCAATTCAAGTAGTAGTCATCCGATTCCTTCTTGTCGTAGTCCTTAGTCAATGTTAAGTGTCGGTAAGAACCGATCTTTCCGTTTTTCAACACATTAATCGGTAAATCATTAGACAATATATCGGAGAACGGCTTCTCCTTAAAGTTGACCGATTTGGCCAAATTGTCGTAATCAAAGACACACCGGAGTGCCTCACCTCCCGGTTCCAGACGAAGACAATTAACGAGACCAACGATTCCGTTCTTTTGTGAATCGTTGGCAATGAGCCACAGATTTTCTGCAGTTTCGTCGTTTTCCTTGATTTCGATGATCTTTTCTTTTAGTGTCTCAAACCAGGTCTCAGTGTTTGTTGTATTGATTTCAATAATATTCTTTTTATTCGGTAATTTCGGCTCCGAAAACAACTTACGAAACAATATAGCCATCGATCCAATGGTATCAGTTTTGCGGCCAATTATGTTGAAGCCAACCGATTGGGCCATTTTGACGAAATCGGCGATACGTCGCTCCAAATCACTATTTGTCAAATGTTTTTTGCCGTTCATCTGATTCAATGCCAACTCTGGTTCAGTAAACTGATACCTGAATACTGTCAATAAGAAACCTTTATCTGATATTACGTCGTAAATCTCTTGTAACTGGTTTTCAGTATTAATATCCCACAAATCGGTGGTGTCTTTAATGACAACAAAGTTTACAGAAGATATTTCGGACGGAAAGACACTGCTCTTAGGATTCCATTCAATGAATTTAATTGATTGATTCTTGAGATCTTCATTCAACATATCGACAGACTTGACAGCTACAGTATAATTGACATCAATTGGATAGATATGAGCGGTTCCCAACTGGTTGTCCACTTCTTTAGCTAACAAGTTGTTCGTCAAATTCATCTCTAAAACTTTGATCGCTTTTTTTGGTACAATCGATTCGTTTACAATATCAACAAGTGATCGGATCAGGTGTTCATTTCTGGATACGTCGTTAATGATGTCCAGAGACAAGTCGTACTCTGGATTAGTCTGCAATTCGGTCAACAATTTATTGGTATTAATGTTACGATTTTCATCGACACATCCCTTGTATAATTCATTCAGAAGTTTAAGCAGAATATGATTGTCTTTGATGTTAACCAAATACTTTMTGACCAACTGGTCATTGATATCGGACTTCAATGTTTGATCATTTGATTCGATCAGTTCCTTGATTTTGTTGGCTAACGAAGAGCACACTTTAACGTACTCTCTAATAGCCTGTTTGTCGGACTCACTGATGGCTATACTATCATCATTGGACACAAACTGATAGGACTCTAACTTCAAGTCTTGTACATTAGTCTTGCGTGGAATGGGGAAAGCCATGAGATCTTCTATTTCCACGCCGTAGGTGACAATCATTCGTGAGTTCATGTCTACATAAAATGGCAAAACAGACGGATACACGTGAAACTCTTTGCCAAACAATTCCTCTATGTATTCGACACTATTTGTGGATAGTATGCCTTCGACTTCGGCTTCATCCCTACTGCCAGAATCTTTGTCCATATAGGCATCGATTCTGTCTTCGGATACTTTTTCCTCCAGTTTTTTCGCTTCTGCCGTTTTGTTTTTGGCGATTCCTTCGTAGAGTACTTTGGGATCGCAACGCATGGATCGGATCATTACCGGTACCATCATCTTTCTGAACGGCATAGCGGCAGCCATTGTTTGTAACAATGAATCCATGAATGTGATCCAATTGCCGTCCCAATTGATCTCTCCGTACAAAGTCTCGAAATTATTTGTCTTAACCGAATCGATTCGTCTGAATTTCGGGCCATAATCGTAGCCTAAAATCTTAAGATCCTTATAGATGTCCTGTGAGGTGAGGTTCACTTCAAAATCTTTGGTTCTCATATCTTCGGCTTCGATTAATACGTTTTGTATGCTTAGTGAATACTCATCGGTGGTACGGACTTTACCCACACAGCAGACATTTCCGGCCTCCATAATAGCAAACTCGCCCGACGTTTCAATGTATTTGCACTTTATTTTGGTTATATCGCTGTCTGATAGAAAAATCGGTCGTCTAAATTGGACGTCCTCGAAGATTACCGGTATTTGATTCCAAATGCGTCCATAAGAGGCGGCCATACGACGCCAGGCAAGCATGAGATATCCAGTGGCCGGATAGAGAACATTACCGTCTATGCAGTGCTCCGGTAGGAAAGCTTTAATACTATGGGCTGGATTATATACCTCATTCAAGTCAGCCGATGTCGGCCTGAAGTAGTTGTCGGGATATGCCCGAACAGGAAGATTATGATTGTGATCCCATTTCATTAATGAACTTAACGATTGAGTGTTTCGGGCCACTGGCCATTGGACTTTGGGGTACAGATTTTCGGTCGTTGGATTCAAGCCTAACTCGTATAGTTTGGCCACTGAGCTCAACAACATATCCAAATTGGTTTCGTTTGAATCTTTTTTGATAAGCGATACATAAGTGCCCGACTCAAGTGTCTCTTTGACCACTTTGGAGAATAGGCCGTGCGGTCCAATCTCAAGAACCAATGCATCGGACGGGATGTGCTTAAACTTGTTATAGAAATATACGGGACTAATGAGATTGTGTACAAAATACTCAGCCGATGCACTCTTGAGGACGTCGTCAACGTCTCCGTCGATAAGTGCCGTTGAAATCCATTTCTTGGATCGCGCTATTGGATTGGGAATCACTTTCTGTAATTCTTCTGTCAACTTCTTGGCCGATGTAATGAGATATTCGCTATGATATGGGATGTCATGACTTTGCAATTCACGTACAAATACTCCTTTTTTATTCAAATCTTCAATCATTTGTTTGGTTTCAATGTATAAACCTTTGAATATAAAAAGTTAATAATACTGTAGTTATTGTTTATAATTTAATTCAACGATCAAATACCTGACACAACAACCGTGTCTTTTCCGTTATTACAGACAACTGTTGTTCCTTTTGGACACAATTTCTTTGCCTCATTCCATGAGAGTCCCACCACAGCCATCAACCCTTTGGGTATTTTTCTGTCACTTTCTGTCACAACTCCTCTATAGTATGTTACAAGAAGTGCCTCTTTAGCAGTCAGTGCTCCGTCAGCATAGGCAGCGGCTATTTCACCGAATGAGTGTCCAATAATACCGTCGGGTGTTATACCCAAAGCATTAATTACATCAAACAATGCAATCTCTATAGCAGTTGTGGCACAGAATTTATTGGTCATTGAGTTCATAGAGTTCTTGTCGTCAGATAATAGCAAATGTTTTAAGTCAATGTCATAGGGTTTGAGTATTTCATGGCATTCCTCTATTTTATGGGCAAATATCTTGATCGGCATCAATGCCTTAGCCATTCCTACCCATTGTCCTCCCAGTCCGGGAAACAGAAAATATACTGGTCTCTGGCACTTAAGTGTAAACATAGAGGATGACTTCTTGTATTCATATTTATCACCATCGGTTTGTTTAATAATAATTGAACCTAATTAACAAAACACAGACAATAATATAAATTGTAATTTTGATGGTTAATCCATATATTATGCAAACCTCTGTAAGGCATTCCACTAGAATTGATTGTCGGCTCCAAACGCATAGTGTCGGCCACCAGTGCGAGGAAATCTCGAGTGACTTTCTGTGGATTGTCTTCAATCCATTTGAAGAACTCAGTCAATGCTGACTCAGTTCGGGCGCATACGTTAACAATGCGCGGAATAACATCAGCAATCTTGAGACTGTCCTCATCGACCAACTTGTAATTGGGCTCAAGTAATACATGTGCGTTAACACCGCCCACACCGAAGTTATTGACACCAGCGATGCCTACAAAAACACATATTTTTATATTTTATCACAATTTCTACAAAATATATTTAATACAAACCGGGTGTATATTTGGTATTTTCTTTAATCGGCACCAGAGGAGGACAAAACTCTTTGATATTGGCCTTAACATTATTCAGATGAAGACACGGAGGAATCATTTCATTTTCGTAGACAATCAACAACTTGGCCACAGACGACAAACCTGAGGCGGCCTCTGCGTGACCGATGTTACTCTTCAACAGACCAATGGGAAGCGTTCCCTCGCGTTTAGGTTTTCCACAGTAAGCATTGTAAATGGCTTTAGCCTCTTGTGGATCACCGACCTATCAATTAATTCAATCAATTAGTAAAATAAATTGTTTGATAATAGTTTGCTATTTATGTTTTAAAGTAATCACTGGATCATACCTTAGTGCCGGTGGCGTGAGCTTCAAAATAGGTGACTTTAAGAGGATCTACATTTACCTCCTCATAGACTTTAATCATCAGTTCTTCTTGGCTCTCGGCTGATGGATAGAACATACCCATCCGTTTGTTACCATCAATGTTGACACCACTGTTCAATACAGTGGAGTATATGCGCTTAGCATCGGATTTACGCTGTAATAATATGGAGCAAACAGTCTCTCCTCTTACAAAACCATCGGCCGATTCGTCCCATACTTTTGGTATACCATCGCAAGCGTTCAAACGGGTTGCCTGAAAGATCTGATTGGAAAATGGCTGCAAAGCCACTTGAGTTCCCGCAACAATAGCCTGTCGACACTTGCCTATAAATAATCAAATATAGATTTACCATTTTTAACCCATTTATTATAATTTAATATATAGCACATACCTAATCTCATGTCGTTCATAGCCGTATTGAATGCCACTAAACTCGATGAACAGGCCGTGTCGATGATCATCGACGGACCTTTGAAATCAAACACAAACGACACCCGATTGGCGTACAGACACTTTTGAGAGCCGGGCAGCCATAGGAGTGTGTCTGTCATAATTGATTGCGAGTCCGGCTGAACACTCTCGGGTAGGCCGTCAGGCATACCAAACGATGAGAAGCCAAGATAGACACCGGTGTCTGAGCCACGAAGTGACTGTGGATTCAAACCTATAAATTTATGACAAAAAAGCCATTAAATATTTTTTATTGTTAGTTCAACTAATGTTATTAACAGTTTCACATACCAGCATCAATAATGGCCTCATAGGTGGTCTCCAGAACCATTCGCGAGTGCGGATCGGTATTATCGGCCATAGTTTGGGTGATACCAAAAAACAGACCATCAAATTTGTCGGCATTTTTCAATTTACCCATTCGGGGGTTCATACCAAACAAATCTTTTAACATAATAATTAAGATTACAATTGAAATACATTTTGTCGGTTAGAGTTAGTTAGTTATTGATGAAAAAATTTGTTTTAAAAAAAGTTTTTTTATTTAATTATAATATCGTTGTATTATAGCGACCATCTTAGGACTGGAATGGCTAAGAGATATCTTTAAACAAAAACTATTTTCAAGTAATAGCTTCTCAATCATTACAGCCCATAGAAAGTGCTCAATGAGTTTGTGCACAGGTTTATCATTTCTTGCATACCTTTACATTGCTTAACATATATTTCTATACATAGTATCTAATTATTATACAATACTTTTATATACATTTATATACTTTTGTATACTTTTATATACATTTATATACTTTTATATACTTTTATACGAAATGCATTAAATATATTTAACTAATTTTTAATAAAATTAATAAATATTATCTCAAACCTTGTGGCCAACGGCGGTCATCTGCTGTAATCATATCGACTCCATTGTATAGATTCTGTGCAAACTCATCGGTGGAGTCGGCCTCTGGAAATCGGCCACCGATACCACTGATGACAATATCTTCGGACATAATTTTGGCCATAATTCAGGTAATTGGTTGTCGTCTTTGGTATTATCGAATTAATTTAAATATAAAAGTCACACAATTATTAAATAAGTAGCAATCAATTTATTTTTATAATCACAAACACTTGATAAGACACAAAATATTTTTTAAAAATATTAGTATTATTATTATAAAACTTTTATTCGAAAAATTAAATGATTGACAAAACTTTTTTTTTGTAAGATATTAAATACAATATTAAAATCTTTCTTTCACTATCACTACAAATTTATATATAAATAAATTATCAAATATTATTATAAAAAGTAGTGACGGTATTGGATAAACTGATTACCAGAATCGCCCGGTGCTCTCAGAGTCTGGCACAAGAATTTTCCACACCTTGTGATTGATTAAAGCTTATATACCTTTCCCTAACACACACTCTCTCTCTCTCTTACTTTACTGGATGTTTTAAAACTTTAAAAAACTGATAAACAAATTATTGCAAAAGTTTTGCAACTAATGAGTTAGAAAGAAAAATAAAAATAATGGATTTATATAAACTTATTATTATTAATAATAATAATATGTTGTTTACGATAAATAAAAATAAGCAATTAATAAAATAATCAAATAGCAAGAAACAAAATATTATTATACTCGATATAGCTAATCAATGATTTAAATGATAGACAATATTGAATAATAATAATAATACTTTGTATTTCATGAGAAAACACTGAAAAAATTGTTGGGATTTCCAGTGAATAAAATTATATTCTGCAATATATATAAATCAATGCTATACTAATAATACTAATAATAGTGATAACTTTCTCTTTTAATATATAATATTTTAATCATTATTTAAATTAAATCATATTTTCAATAAAAAAAATAATTTTTCGAATGATTTTTTAATTTAATGAAAGAGTGAGAGAAACAAATGGTTGTGAATGTGTGAGAGAATCTCGAAAAAAGAGATTCATTGAAAAAATTGATGACTTTTTATACACTTTTATTATTCAGTATATATCTATGCATTGTATAGTATAGTATAGTATAGTATAGTATACGTGAATCTAATAGCGGTCAGGATTAAGGTTAACTCGTTTTTAACAATTAATGTTTCATATAATATAACTTATTCAGTGTATATGTATGTGTTATTTTAACGGGAGGGCTGTCTAAAAAGCTATATGGGTTGTGCACTGGATTACTAAATCAAATAAAAGCGATAGCAATAAGAAATAGTCAATTATAGAGAAATTTTAACTCTCTCTCTCTCTCTCTCTCTCTCTCTCTCTCTCTCTCTCTCTCTCTCACTCACTCACTCTCTCTCTCTCTCWCTCACTCTCTCACTCACTCACTCACTCACTCACTCACTCACTCACTCACATACACTAATTTACTCAATAATCGTTTACAAAATTATTTATTCGTTGGACTAAACGATTCAAATGTCACAATATTATGAATATTGTAATTGTCTTAGTATTTCCTGATACTATGGGACCCAAAATATAATCATAAAAATATTTTATAAAATTTGAATATTAACATTAAAACACATTAGTATAACATAAATATTTTTATTGCTTTTTTCATTTTTGCTTTTTCTTCGAAATTTCAGTTTTCTTTGTTTTTGTTATGTCAATGAAACACTTTTTTTTTGTTATTTTTGTGGATGTGTTTGCCTATAACTATTGCCATTTAGCATTAATGGCAATATAACAAGTTTTTTGGCAATCATTATATGTAGTTTAGTATTATTATTATTATTATAGCCTAAAATTCAAGTTTTTTTTTACTAACGATTCTCTCACTTAATAGTAATCATTTATATATGTAGATATATTAGCTTAATAATGTTGTTATATTGTATGTATGGGACAGTTGGCTATGATGAGAGGGGAAAAAATATGTAGTATATCTGTACCAGTATGCCCTGGCTTATGATATATCATTAATTGTGCACGATTCAAGTAAATTATAGATATAATTATTTTTATTTTTCTAAAAAATCAAATTCACTTCATATTAAAAATAGTAGATATTATATAATAAAACAATAAACTAAATACTATTAATTGTTGTCAACTATTTCGAAATAGTTAACTAACAAAAGTCTTAGTTATGCCTTTATTATTATTATTATTATTATTATTATTATTACGACTAATACTAAATTTACTACTACTAGTACCTGTAACTGTATGCTTATCGTAAATACAGTTTAAATTGTTTGTTAATTATACCGTATCTTTAGGTATATATACAGTATAAAAAATGTCAATTGATTTTTTATTGTTTTTTTCAAAAAAAATTTATTACATTATCGTATAATAATTTTTATTAATTCACTTTGTTTTTTATTTAGGTTTATTAGCAACAACAACAACAATCTCTTAATTGTATTAAATTATAATTACACTAATYTGCATTTTAGATTATTTTCAACATTTTAAAGGACAACTAAGTTTATAATTATTAGAGAGAGAGAGAGAGAGAGAGAGAGAGAGAGAGAGAGAGAGATTCAGTTTTAAGGGTCATTATAAATGGTATACTAWATTATAATAGTTTATTTATTAATTTTTGAAACATTTTTTATATTGTATTATTAAATGATTAAATTTTTGTTATTGTTTAATCGCAACGTTTGTTTTCTAATTTAATATGAATTTTTAAATACCTTAAAAATAATTTGAAATATATACACGTAAAATAAATGAAATGTTTTTTAGAGAAAATCAACTAACAATTATTATATGATAATATAATTTTCAATAATACTGTATATTATATGAGTACTGAGTCTAAACTATTTACGAGTATTATTACTATGGATGTGCCATAAAAGGCTAAATTATGTGAAAATTTATTTTATTCTCAATTTTGTTTTGTTTTTAATATTTTGGATTGTATTCAATTGAAATAATAATAATAATAATTAATACAAAAAATATTTAACTAAATACAGTGAACTGGATTCAAATATACAGAAAAAATATAATAATTTTAAAACACACACCAATTTGTAAATAATTTATTATTTATATACTTATATTATTTAAAAAATACTCTCACCCTATCATAAATAATAATATTTTATTTTTTAAAGTATGATTTACATTAATTATTATACCTGGACCATCAATTAACATTCCATAGGGTTATAAATATTATAATCTGATTAAAATTAATTTTTACTAATAAACTATTATTATTATTATTACTACTACTACTACTACTACTACTACTACTACTACTACTACTACTACTACTACTACTACTACTACTGTACTACTACTAATAATAATACTCAAATAATTTATATCATGTATTTTATTGAATATATCAATATATAAAAAAAATATTATTTATTTTCTATCTTGTAATTTACTGTTATCATATATGATATAATTTATATGTTATTTTATACTTTATTTATGCTTCAATATTATTAATATTCATATAATCTACATAATATTCTGATTGTCAATTAAGATAATAAATATGTATAATCATAATTGTTAAATATGAATAAAAGTTATGGTATTATATTGATATAATATTTTATAATTTAAATATTTGGCTAACTGTATAATAATAATAATAATAATTATTATTATTATTATTAATGCAATAAGCATTTTACTGTATTAATAAAGGTATTCTTACTTTTTTGTGTAAAATTCAATTTCTATTTAAAGTAACTATAAATGTCATAATTAAAGATTGTAATACTAATATTAATTATTTTTCTTATTATAATTTATTAGAAAGTTAAAATGGTGTATATAAATTAAAACAGTAAAAAATTATAGACCTTCAAAACTTTTGTTTTATATAATTTTTAAAATTAATTATTCATTGCGATATTTGTACACATATAGAGATTTTTATTATCATTTTGTGACAATTTAATTGTTATCTTGTTATCACCTCATATGGCAACTTGTATTTTCATAAAAAAACAAAATATTATATGTATTGTGTGGTTACATAATCACACTAATAAGTTATATAAAAAACAAAAATTGCTAAAACAAGTTATGACAATTGATATAAATAAAAAAATTGTACTTTTTATACAGTATATGCGTTGACAATTTTTATATTTTTTTTAATTTATCACATTTTAAATAATTTTACTAAACATCGATATATTGACAGCGTGTTGATTAAAATTATAATAATAAATATTATATAAAAATAATTTTTATTTTTATGCAAAATAAAAAAAAATTGATGAATATATTTTGTTATATAAAAATTTATGTTTGTTTAGAGCTAACAAAAAATAAATACTGTATTAAATAAATGATATTATCAAACAAAGTAAACAATGAAAATTTAGACATACTTTAATGTTTTGGTATATTTTTAAAAAATATTAATCGTTTTTTAAATAATTAAAAAACAATCAGGAATTCAATGATTATGTTAATTTGCATTAAAAATTATTTTTTAAAAATATTGGTTAAATATTGCATTAATTAAAACGAGACATTGGATTTTTAATACAAGAAAAAAATAATAAATAATAATAACTATACTATTTTTCAATTTTAACAATAATTATGATAACTCCATGTGAGGTATAATTTTTTAATAATAATGATTGAACACTATATTAAATTGTTAAATATAATTATAACAATAAATGTTTATACAATCCTCTATATAAACACATATATGATAATAACAATTTAGAAAATTATAATGATTACAGTAAATTAAGTTAACAAAATATAGCCAATAGGTATAATTAACCAGGGTAATTGACACATGTAATAATATAAACGAATGTATAATGTTAGTAATAACTATTTGTTATCTAATAATTATATCAATACAAACAAACAAACACATTCACACACATACACACACAGATACATATATACATACATACATTACATACATATTGTATATAAATACACATATATGCATAGCTAAATACATATCTGAATTTAATTTGTTGTATTTAAAAACTATATAACTGTGTGTATTGAGAAAAAATTAGAAACCGTATAATTATTTCGTTTAAACGATTTATTCATTATTTATCTTTTTTTGTATGTCAATTGTAACAAAAAAAATTAATAATAAACAAGAATTTATAATTTACAAAATTTGCAATCCTCTGAGAAATTTAGTAATGTTTTACTTTAAAAAAATGCAAATATAATTTTTTTATAAATTTAATTAGACTAACATATATTTATTTATCAGTATTAAGCAATAATCTTGTTAAGACAGGTCAATATGCATTAATCAAATATTTTTGCTAATTAAAAAATCATATTAAAATACTAATGGAATAATTTGATAAATGTTCATTATTATAATAATTGTTATTATATCTAAATTATTGATAAACTATATTAAGTTAATTTTTATTTTAAAAGATTATGTGAATTAAAAAAAATTCGCATTTTTATTTTGTTTATTTAGTTAAATGTTATTTACTTTATTTTTTATTCATTCAATTTGATTAAATGTTAGGTCAATCTCCTACCAGTGGCCATCACTTAACTCAAATAAATTCAATATTTTTTTAATGTACTCTATTTTTTTATTAATAATTAAAACCTAAAAATTAATAAAACTTGAAAACCTCACACATTCTTAACAATATAACAACAACATTATGATAATAATAATAATAATGTTAACATTTTGTGACCTATAATGCAATGCAAACAAAACACAATATATTTTTTTATTCAAAATAAACTTTGAAAGTATTTGGTGTATAAAAACATATACATTATATTTATTTTTTATTATTTCATTTATTTATTTAAATTAAACAAATTTATCATATGATATAAAAATTTTTAATTAATAACKATATTATTAYTTTTGTTAACAAATTATTGTAAAGATATAATTTAATTTTTTAATTTTTAATAGTTTTATTTTTGCATCTAATAAATAATTTTTAAAGCAAAAACTTATATAATATACACTATAAGCATAATATAATAATAAATTATTTAAAATCTATCGCTTATTTAAATAAAATATGTGCACAAATGTCAATACACCTAAACTTATATAATCATAATTATTATTATTGCCGCATATCATTGAATACTTAATTAGCTAGTGTTTTGAAATAATTTTTATGTTGGTTGATATTTACAAATATATAGAAACATAAAAATTTTAAATGAAAAAATCGTTTCATATTATTTTAAAATCAATTTTATTGCTTATTATTTATTGATATCATCGTATTATTAACAGTATTTTTGTTGTTGCTGTTGTAAAATAAACAATTTTATGTCAAACAAGAAAATGAACAAAAAAAAAGTTTATAATTCATAAAATAATATTAATTATATTATAAAAAACAAAATATAATCGTGAATATTATGACAATTAAACTTATAGAGTATTATAAATTATATGCAAATAATTGTTATATATTCAAGTGAAAGTAAGTTATGTAAAGTAAGTAATAAAGTAAATATTGTGAATAATATATAWAATCAAACCATAAATATCAATATTATTATTTTATAAAAATAATTATTGTAATTATATATTTTATTTTTTCTATTAGGAATATTATTGAATGATCAGTTTTAAAAAAATTAACAATTATAGATAATATATTTTGATAAAATTAATATTATAAAAACACTTAAAGTTTGCATAATTACTTCAATTTTAGTATTAATTGAACAAATAAGATTTAAATAAATAAATTATTATTTTAAGGGCATACGTGTGCACAAAATTTTTAATGATTATATTAGTTTGTTATTCAAAATATAAAAAAATTCCAATAACTGACTTATTATAACAAACAATTTAATGATTGTATTTTGCACTCAGAAATATAGCCAAACAAATTAAATTTAATGGAAATTTTAGCATCAATTGAAAATTTCATACAAAATATTTTTTTTAATTTTTAGTTATTTCACTATTAAACAATAATTTATTATATTAATTAGAATGATATTTTTTTATATTTAAAGTTTTGCAAATAATTTACAATTTATAGATATAGACTATTTATACTTATAAGTTTTTACAATAATATATATATATAATGTATTTATAAATAAAATATACCTGGATAATTAATTGATGTCACTGATTAATCGATTGTTGCAAAATCTTCTTGTGTACTTTACCAATTATAAACAATATAAATTAAAATATTAACTTGATAACTTATAAAAACACAATTATATTGCACAATTAATAATTAAGCTCAATGTTTACTAATAGTTACTTAAATTTATAATGAATTAATTTTTAATATATTATAAATTGAAAGTAACAAAATAAACAATATTGACTTTCACTTAAATACTGACAAAAATTATTATGACTATAAAAGTCTAATATTGTTATTGTTATATATTTTTATAATATCTATTTAATTGTTGCAAAAAACAGTAAGTAGTCTTCAAATATAGTTAACAAGTGGTGTTCCCATTGAATGACTTTCAATTAAAAATTAAGTTAAAAACGAAAGATTCAAATATATGTTAAAATATTTTTCAAATTTATATATATATATCTTTAGGATAGAAAAATAAAACTTTTGTTTTTACGCAAAAAACTATATTTTCTAATGTCATAAATATTTTCCGATTGATTAAATAAATGGAAATTTCTAATTTTATTTTTATTGAGATTTCTATAACATTTCTATGCTTATTTTAAATAAATTAACATTTTAATTTTATTTTATGCATAAATATTAACATTATAATTTATAAACATTGATATATTTTTAATGTAAAAAAAGTAATAACAAAACCAATCAAATTATTTATTAAGAAATCCTTATATAAATTGGGTAATTACAGCATTTGTTGCAAAATAACAATAAATTTACTGTTTTTTTCTAAATATGTTAAACTGCTATTAATACATAGTGTATATGTATTATAGTTGCGTACAGTACAGTGTATGCAAATAAGCAAATTATTATCTGATCCATTCATGCTTTACATATTTATTATTTATATTAATACTACTATACAAAGTTAAAAAGCATATATTGAATATAGTATTAGATATATATATCTATTGTATATTATATGATACAATAAAATTGTTATTGTATTGTATGGATGATATAAGTTTTTCTTTTAAAAAAATTGAATAAAACACAATATATGCAATACTGTGATTGCCTGAAGTCGTGTCGCGTAAAATAACTATATTTGTTTGGGTCATTAATTAAGTCAATTTATGTTTGTTTTAATTAATAGGTTGTTAATTACTTATGAAATATTTATTTAGGAAATAAAAAATAGCATATGATTTATAGTCATTGCTATGTATTTAATAATCTAATTCGTTAAATAATTTTAATCACTTAATTAAACACTTTAACAAATCAATATGTATAATACATATAGATCACATTTAAAGTATTTTTTTAATTAGTTTTTAATTTCTTTTAACATATTTAAAAAAAATTACATAAATAATAAAATGACATATTCAATATATATATATATTATAATGTGCGGTTAAAATTTTCATTTTTAAAAAACATTTATATTTTACGACATTTAATTTCAATAAATTTTACATGCAAAAAAAATAAATAAAAATAATATTGATTATTAACATATTTGGCAATATTTATTGAAAAATTATTTACATAATTCAAATTAAAATAGGATTTTTCTATTTCTTACAATATCTTAATGAAATATATATATTTTGCACCATTTAATAATGTTTTTGTAGCAAATTTTACAAAAAAAATTATCGATATCATAATTGTAATAAATCAATAACAAATATTATTGAAAAACATTAATACTAGTAATTACAAACATCAAAATCATAATTATTATATTTTATAGAAGACAAAATCAAAAAAAAAGTTTATAAAACAGTTTAATTTAATGATTTAATCAATAGCTGGCAAATTAAAATCGTGATTTTCGTTTACACTTTTTTWTATATATATATTAATATTTTAAACTGACTAAAACAATATTGACGTAAATAATGTTCAATGACATTTAAGTAGCGGTATAATTATAAACAGTTTTTTATAGTACAGGTATATAATTATTAATGTAATGGTGACCAAACTGACCGGCTTTGACAGTGTAATACAGGATTAGTAGTATTTTTATTAGTTTTGAATTGAAGTAATTATTAATTTGTTAACTAAAAACATTGACAAATAATAATTGTTAAATCATTAAACAGTGTTTAATTAAAAACTTAAATCTTCTATTTATATGCAAAATTATATTTAACTAAATTATAAGTTATAATTATTAAAAAGATTTATAGATAAATATAATAAATAACATTATTTTTGTAAAATAATAGATTTATCCTRKATTATAATCAATATTGTATCAATTGTTTCTATAATAATGAGTAAACTTATTAAAAATGTACTGTATAATATTATTGTGTATATATTACTGTATAAAATAGATAAAAAGTTTTTGGTTACTATATTTATATATGATATATATAAACATTTATTTATTTTTTTGAAAATTTTCTATTAATAAACTCAAAAATATTACAATAACATGCAATTATATTACATCACAGCACAGGTAGGTGCCTTGTTTTAATACAAAAATTTTATTATTTTATTTAATACGAAAAAAATTGTTTGTTCTGTATAATTTAAACACTATCTGATTGATGTCATATTTAATTGGCTTTTAAAAAAATCAATATAATTATTACTATTGAATACTCGCAATAAAATATCCAGATTTTCCCAAATCTAATTAGTAAATAAATTTAAATAATAATTTATTATATTTATTTTGTATGGTTAATATACTGTACAGTATTATGTAGTGTTATTTTAATGTTTAAAAGTTATATCTAAAATTATAATATTAATAGTTTTATTCATTAATTTTTATTAAACAAAGTTTAAAATACTATGTTTATTAAAATAATCATGATTAAATAACAATATACAGTATATACTTTATTTTTATATTGAATGTAACTGTCAAATTGATAGCTAATTTTAAATTTTATATTATAAAATTTGTTATTTTACATATTGTATCTCTACTAAACTGTCCAATAATTGATTGAAAGATAGATAAATACTATATAATGAAAATTAATAATAATAATAATAAGTCTATAAAAGCTGTAAAATATTATACTTTACAATACATATTATATTATGTAATATTGTATAACAATATAATAATAATTTTGTTGTCATTTAGTTTAACAGATACTTGTTTTTTAATTAGTGTGTGTCCTCTATAGTAATGTAATCACATACAGCTATTGTATTTATTAGGTGTCTATATGTGGATATCCTCGATATGACAAAGTTTATGAATTAATACAAAATATATAAACCTGGAAGCTATATGTTTAAAACATTTTATTAAAAAAAATAATTATAATAGTATTGTATTTAGTTTTTAAAATATTGAATTTATTGTTTTTCTTGTTATGTCATTATTTATTTTTGTGTCTTTATATGTGTTTAATGATGTGTTTATAATTTATTCAAAAATACACACAAACTTTTAGTGAAAATATCTTATTCATGTCTATATGAAAATAAAGTAATAATAATTTAATGTAAATTATTACTTAATAACTTATTTGTGGAAAAATGTATTATTATAAATATACTTAAAAACAAATATATTAGAAACCAATTGTAAATTTTTGTTTTTGTTATTAAGTAAAAATTTATTAATTAAAATATTGCGATAATTATTTAATTGTTTACTTTTAATTTTAGTTACATAAATCAACCATAATTATAATATTCTTAATTAAAAATTAATAGTTTTAATATTGAAATATATAGTAATAATTATTAATTAAATATAAAATTAAAAAATCAATAATTTATTCATAACTTTAATTTTATTGTATGTAAGCATTGATAAAAGTTATCAAAACATGTTATTTGAATTTAATCTGTAAAAATACCTGTATAAATTATATTAATAGATTTTCATTATATGCAAATTAATTGTTTAAAAATAGATTTAAAAATTATTTTATTAATTGAGAAATTAATTTCAACTACATTTATTAAATAGCTAACGATTAATTTATTTTATTATTATTTTTTATGTGTCTAGGATTGTAGACAAAATAACCCGATTTATAATAAAAAGCATTATTAATCATTATTGTTATTTTAAAAATATAATTAGTGTCACAATAAAGATATAAAAATAATTAAAAATAAGATAAAAAAATATATTAAAAAAGTGTTATCATTAAAAATAATTCGCATTTTATTTCATTATTTATAAATTATCAATAAATATATTTATATTTATATATTCAACTTTTTWAAATTATTTTTTTAAATTATTACTATACATTCTGATATATTTTGTTTAAATTAAATATTTTATTAAAGAATTTACTTAAAATTAATATAAATAATAAACGAAGATTAAGTTAATCAACACATATTGACTTTAATATGAAAGTTATTGCAATAAATAATTCATTAAGAAAATTAATATAAAAAAATATTTTACACATAGATTGTGTACATTAGTTAGTTATACATAACAATGTTATGATGCTTTATTACCTACATTTAGGAAATACATATAATAGTATCTATCGTATAATATTACAATAAATAGTTTATATTGCCTCACAAACAGTACTTAAACACATTATATTAAATTAATACAATAATATTACATTGTATTTGTCAGTGTATACCTTGGCACGTTTGGCTATTATAATGCTTCCCCAATAATATCATTATTTTTTTGCTTAATTGTAAATCAAATCATGAAAGTCATAATTTTTAAAAATGCTAATAATTTAAAAAAAATATTTTAACGTTCTATCATTTTATAAACAAAGTTATGAAAAATTATCTAGTTATTTTTTAAAATAAATTTTTATAGTAGAGATTTAAAATATAATAAAAAATTATGCCTTTGTTATTTCAATATTTTAGATAAATAAACTAATTTATTTAATAAAATAATTTTATATAATACTTACCTGTTTTTGACATACATGTATAACAAATAAATCAATAAAAATATTGAAAAAAAGTTTAGATTATAACTAATTAATCTATATTTTTAATAAGAGAACAATAAAATTCTAAATTATTTATTAAAAAAATAATCTGTGAAATAATAATAATAATGTTGTTTTTAAATATTATTGTTAAATTTTGAAATAGTGATTTTCACAAATAATTATTAATTAATTTAAGCATTTGTTACAATGTAACCTAAACACTATAATCATATAATTATTTGTCTAGTTGTCTAATTAATTATTAAATTAGATAATTGCATAATATTTGTAGTTTTTATTTTGTTAATTTAGATAAATCAATGTGAGTACAGCTTTAAATTAATATGTAATTATTTCAAAAATTGATTAAAATTTAATAAACTTAAATATTTATTTTAATCGTATTTAAAATGTCACATTTAAGAGATTAAAATTTTTAAAACTAGTTTTATTTATTTGTTTTACCATTTAATTAATTTTGTGATATAATTTTAATTAAGAATATAATATGAATACTTGTAATTTAGTTGTTTTAAATATTTTTCTATTATTTTAAGTTTATAAATGTATTACATTAAGCTAAATAAAATTTACTTATAACATATAATTGTTTATAATTAAAATATTTTTATTGTTTATAATTAAAATAATTATATTGTTATTTACACTTTTAATAAAATAATTAATCAGAAATACAAAATATAAACTTATTATATTAAATGAATATATGAAAAACATTTATTTGTATAATATGTTGAACAAAATTATATTACTGTAAATTATAATTTCCGCTTTAGTTACAGTTTTTACACAAATTATTAAACCAAAACACTAAAAAATTAATCGTATTTTTAACATAGAGTTTAATTAGGTTTTAATTTTTGATACAATTATTGTATTGATATTATATGATACAATAGTTAATTTGTTATATAGTGGTGAATCATAAACATATCAATGTATGTATAATACAGTGTATAATATATTATTAAATATATAATATGGTCAGTGCTTTCACTTATTATAAAAGTTAGAGTCAGTGTTGACATATAAATAGGGGGATAGATATTTGACAGATAATAACTTTATTAATAATATTTATTACTTATTAATAAATAAAAAGAAAGTAAAATATTTACTATAATTGTAGAAATGGACAAATAGAAATTTTTAGTAAATTTTTTAAAAATAAATATCATAAAATATTACTTTATTATTATACTCTAGAATCTATATACTGTATATAGGATCCACATATCTATAGCTATTGTAAATTTTATTACTGTTTGTGAAACACTACACTACTATACAAATGGGATCTTCATATTATATTTATTGAATATATAAAAATATAATTATAATTTATAATCTTATAAACATTTTATTCATTATTTAATAATATTTTTAGTTTAATGTAATTAAATTAATTTTTGTATTTTAATTATTAATATTTAATTATTACTTGTAATCATAATGTACAGTATTTTTATAAGATAACAAATATGAAAAAAACTAAATTAATATGTGAGTCAAATAAACAGAAATATTTTTATAATCTCTAAAAATTTGACTATTATTTAACAAATTTATCTTTTTTTGCTAAACTATACCGGTAACAATTGACTTAATTATTTTAACTTTATTTAAGCTTATGTTAATAAAATCTTGGTTTATATTTTATTAAATATTTCTATTTTTAAGTTATTTTTAATTAAAAAAACTAAATTGACAATTGAATTAATTAAGAATTACCTTTCATTAAATTCAATCAATTTTCAATATAAATAAATATTTATAATAGAAATATAATAGTTTATTTATATAGCTTAAATTTTAATATATCAAAGTTACTTTTATAGTCAATAATACAAACACTTTTGATTGAATTTTTATAATTATAAATAAAAAACCATAAAAACTAAATTTACTAAACATAAAAAAATTCAATTTATATTTTATTACAAATATTTATTTTATTGTTCCAGTTTAATAACAACATTAAACTCAATATTTGAAAATGTATGTATATTTTTTTATTATTCACAAATTTTTGTTTCATAAACAAATTCATATTTATAAAAAACTATTAATTTATTATAAAATGAACATAATTTTTAAATATTATATTATTGAATATTGCAATTTTTTACTGTATTTGCATTTTGATAATTTAATTTACTAAAAATTCAATTTTTTTTAAAATAAATTCTTTATTTAAAAATCATAAATTATCAATAAAACATTTTTAATAATACTTTATTCATGATAAAAAATGTAATTAATTTGAATTTAATGATTTTTTAGTACAATTTTAGTACAGTTTTAGTACAACAATAGTAGATTTTAAAGTACAATTATGGACATTACAGGCAATTAAAGTATTTCTCAAATGTAGTGGACTAACAAATTATTGTTTTTTATAAAAAACTAATGATATTACTTATTTTATAAACTATTAATTGAAAATAAATTATTATTTTGTTGTTGTTATATTACTATTGTTTAGTTCATCTATAATACTATATAATAATGTTCATAAAAGTAATTATAATAATCATACAAACAAACAAAAATTGTTATTAAGCCGTCAAAAGGACTCGACTTTAGCTATAAATCGACAAAAAATATAAGTTTTTTCTCTATCAAATAAAACTACAATATTTATTGTATTTATTTAAAATGACAATTTGTGTCAAGTTTTGCATTTAATTTTCCCCAAAATCAATGGTAATCAAATCATCAAACAAAATATCATCATTTGTTTTAAGTAATAGAAGGACAGATAGATTATTGTTATAAAAATAGTTTAAATTAATTTTTGTTTTGTTTTAACATAAATATTATATATTTTTATGTCCTACTAACAAAATTTTTACAAAATTATATAATACTAAAACAAAAGCATATACATTACATAAAATAATTTTTATATTGAATAAAAGATATTTAATTGTTTTTTAAAAAAAGTTTATTTTATTTCCAAATAAATCTATAATGCTTAACCAACAATTACATAGGTGATTATATATAAAAATAATAACAATTTATATAAAAAATAATACTTGTATAAATCATAATTGCGAATAATATAAAAAGTAATATATATATATAWWWATTAAAATATAGATATATTAGATATATTTAATTTTTATAATATATTAAAATTATATAAAATCTATCAAAAAAAATAGTAACCAAATTAGGACGTGCACACGTGCTCACTGGCGCCAACTAACGGTGCACGTGCTAATAGATACTGAATCATACAACATAATTGTGCAAACATTCATATATTATATACTGTATATTCAGTATAAAACTATAAATTTTACTTATATTTATTTAAAAAAAATTATTAATTATTTCTTAGAGAGGTATTTATTGATAGCACCGGACAGCCTCTCGATGGCGTTCAGTGACTCTATGTCTTCACCCGCGCCCTCAACGGTCTCGAAGTTGAGCTTTCCTTCCAATCCCTATATATTTATATAAAAAAAATTATCATTTATTTTATCAAAAGTTTTAATTAAAAAAAGTAGAATATTGTCACTAATCGTCTAATTTTTAGTGAATTACATACCGATTCGGGCAGGAAATAGGCGTTCCTTATCTTATCGCTGACAATGTCCGCTGAATTATCTTCCGTAAAGTCAAAAGGCTTCAAAACCAATAGCTTTCCAGTCATTGTCAAGAACTTGGATCCGATGTTATACTTGAGTTTCTTTTGTTTGTTCTTCATATGTATACGATATGTTGTGAACAGTTTTGCGCGTTTGAATGAATTCATCAAAATCTCATCCAAGTCTCGACTCACAAGACTTTTACCGCAAAACTCTTTTAATTCAGACGCCATTTTGTCCAACTTTGTCGCCACATCCGACTTAGAGTCTACATCACGCTTGACCTTAGCCTTGACAACTGCAGGCATGTCTTTTGTGATAAACTTCAACATCAATTCAATTAAGTAGTCATTGGTAAGCATGTCTTCATCCAATTTGATTTCCGAAAGCATATCAATGATAACACATTTACCTATCGGTGCTTTCTTTAACATTTTTACAGCAATGAGTGCACCGTAAAAGTGGCCCAAAATATCATAATCTCCTTTAGGCTCCAAGACTTTCATCAGATTAGTATAGTAACTACTGATCTCTTTAAGATTACCCATTTTCTCCATCTCTTTAACCCAATTAAGACCAATGACTGGTCTATCAATCTTATCGGCCAAACCTTCGAGCGATGCAAATATGCCCTCCAGTGGTGGCAAAAAGTAAATGGGTTTACCAGTGGTTACACTGTTTAGTCTGACGTGAGAGTCGGCGGGAATGACAAACTTAACTTTGCAGAGCTTAGCCCTACAGTTCTTGATCTCATCGGCAAAAGACTTCATTTCGTCTACCTTTCCGTTTTCAAAGTCTTTCATCATTCCGATAGTGATATTCTTGATGTCAACTAATGTCACTTTAATATCATATTCTCTCTCCAATCCCTGTTGCAGTTCAACCGCAAACATAGACTCCATACCGATCTCACCTAATGTCAAATGATTGGGTGTAATCTTGGGATCGATACCCAGTGCCACCCAAACTTGGTTCACAAGTTTAGACTCTTTGGTTCCCGACATCAGTTCTCGTTTAGCTCTCACCTAAAAATTAGTTATATTTTTATTATTTAAAAATATATATAATATATAATTAAACTTACAATACAAGAAACCACAGCGTTATCTGTTTGAAGTAATTTATCCATAATTTCTAAACAAGAAGTAACTCTTTGTTTAACGACAGCAGCTAAAGCTGTATTGATATCAGACTCAGCCAACACTCCGACATCACCGATAGGTCCCCATTGAATGGCCAATCCGTGCAATCCATCCCTACGTCGAGACTCACATATGCGTTCACATACAGAGTTGGCGTATCCATAGTTGGATTGTCCGGCATTTCCTTTACCACAAGCGACGGATGAGAAGACAACAAAATAGTCTAAATCTATACTCAATTCACGTGTAATGCGATCCAAGTTCTCAAAAGCCATAGTCTTAGAATCAATAGTCTCTTGAAATTTATTAAAAGTATGGTTTTCAATGAGACAGTCGTTGAGTACGAGAGCCAAATGGAAAACACCACCAATTGGTCCCAATTTCTGTGCTTCGCTTAACAACTGTTTAGTGCCTTCGCTAGTATTGGTGTCATGAGTTGAGACTACAATTTTTGAATCAAATTGTTTCAATTTGCCTCCCAATGCCTTCAACCGATCCAAAACAAATTTCTGATAATCAGTTCTAACGCCCTTTCTTGATGTGAGCACAAACCTACGGGCGCCCATAAACAACATCCAGTGGATAAACTCCATACCAAACCCACCCAAACCTCCTGTAATGATATATGTCTTGTTAGGGTTGAAATAAGTCTTTCTGGTGACCATTAACTTCTTGGACGGATTGAAACCCGTTTTGGCCACTTTGGCCTCTTCCTCATCTCTCATACGAATTACAATCTTTCCGATATGTTTACCGGTAGTCATGTATCTGAAAGCCTTCTCAATCTCTTCGGCCTCAAAGACATTCTTATTGATCGGACGTATCATACCGTTAGTAGCGTTTTCGTGCATCCAATCAAAGAACTTCTTAGTGAATCCTCTTTTAAGATAAAGTTTTTGGTCGACCGACACACCAATGAACGAAATGTCTCTCAAGAAGGCAAACATTCCCAACTGTTTGTTCATTTGTAGGTCATATTTGCCGATCTCAACAAAGCGACCGCAATCGGCAACACATTCATAACTGGCGTCCAGTTTATCGCCGGACAGTGAGTTGAGAACCATATCGACGCCCTTTCCTTTAGTTATCTCTTTAATTCTATACTTGAATTGAGTATTTCTTGAGCTAAATATCCTGTCTTCAGGTATCTTATAATTTTCAATCAAGAATTTGCGCTTATCTTCGGTACCGACGGTCACAAAGATATCGCAGCCGTAGTACTGGCAGATACTGATGGCTGCCTGACCCACACCACCGGCGCCCGAATGTATCAAAATTGATTCACCTATTATTTAATAACACAATATCTAAGTTATTAAAAAGTTATAAAAATAAGTAATGATTTGCAATACCTTTAACCATATGTGCCCTTTCAATTAGTCCATACCATACGGTACTATAAGTGGACAGTATGGTGACGGCATCTTCCATCGACCAGTTATCCGGTACGGGTGATACTAAATCTGAGTTCACATCAATAGACGTGGCATAGCATCTGCTCATATCGAAACCACAGACCCGCTCTCCGGTATCAATACGACGTCCGGCAAACTCGAAACCGATGAGACAATCGGTGAATAGCATCTGAGGACCCGAAGCGATACGGCCTGAGATGAAATGGAAAATATGTTTTAAATTGTAACATAATTAACAATATCCTTAAATATCATACCTGTGGCAAACATGACATCTCTGAAGTTCATACCGGCACAGTATATATTGCACGGTATCTTATTTGCCGGCAAATTGATAAAGTCATAACTTTCTTCAGCCGACACCAGATTCTTGAGGTCATACCATTGCAATGAAGCCAAATCGCGATTGTGGCCAACATTGAGGAAGTATTCCGTCGACTCTTTTTTGTCATAATCTTTAGTCAGAGTGTAGTGTCTGTAAGTACCGATCTTTCCGTTTTTCAACACATTTATTGGCAGATCGTTAGACAATATATCAGAGAATGGCTTCTCCTTAAAGTTGACCGATTTGGCCAAATTGTCGTAATCGAAGACACATCGGATTGTCTCACCTCCCGGTTCCAGACGTAAGCAATTAACGAGACCAACGATTCCGTTCTTTTGTGAGTCGTTGGCAATGAGCCACAGATTTTCTTCTATTTCGTCGTTTTCTTTCATTTCGACGATCTTTTCTTTGACTTTTTCAAACCATTTCTCAGTGTTTGTTGTATTGATTTCAATAATATTATCTTTTTTCGGTAGTTTTGGCTCAGAAAATAGTTTTCTGAACAATATGGCCACTGTTCCGATGGTATCGGATTTACGGCTAATCATATTAAAGCCAACTGATTGCGCGGTTTTTACAAAATTAACGATACGTTTCTCTAAATCGCTATTTTTCAAGTTCTTCTTTCCGTTCATCTGATTCAATGCTAACTCTGGTTCAGTTAACTGATATCTAAAGACACTTAAGAGAAATCCTTTGTCAGATAAGACATCGTACATGTCTTGCAATTGATTTTCTGTGTCCACTTCCCACATATCAAACGAGTCTCTCATAACCACAAAATTAGTTGAAGTAATATCTGTTGGAAAGACATTCTTCTTGTGGTTCCATTCAATCAGTTTAAACGACTGCTTCTTAAATGACTCATCAACCGAGTCGACCGACTTCACGGCAATAGTATAGTTAACATCAATGGGATAGATGTGTGATGTGGCCAACTGGTTGTCTACTTCTTCAGCCAACAAACCGTTTGTCAAATTGATTTCAACGACTTTGATCTCCTTCTTCGGTATAATACTTTCGCTGACAATGTCGACAAAGGCGCGAATCATGTGTTCATTTTTGGTCACTTCATTGATTATATCCTTTGATAAATCGTACTCCGGTTTGGTCTGCATTTCGCTCAACACTTCATTGGTATCGAAATTGCGGTTCTCATCCAAACTTCCCTTATATAAGTCGTTTAGCATTTTAAGCAACACGTGATTGTCTTTTGGTTCGGACAGGTATTTGTTCACCAAATCATCGGTGATATTGTGGTTCACTTTATTGTCATTTGATTCAACCATTTCGGTAATTTTGTTAGCCATGGATGAACACACCTATTAATATAATAAACAAATATGTAATAAAAGGCTTCATTAGATTTGTTATTATATGCGGCAAACCTTTATGTACTCTTTAACAGATTGTCTATTGGCCTCTTCGATGGCAATGCTGTCTTCATTGGGCACAAACTGATAGGACTCGAGTTTCAAGTCCTGAACGTTTGACTTTCTGGGTATTGGAAAAGCCATGAGATCTTCGATTTCCACACCATATGTGACAATCATACGAGAGTTCATATTAACAAAGTATGGCAAAATTGATGGATAAACGTGAAACTCTTTGCCAAAAAGTTCTTCAATATAGTCGACACTATTGGTGGACAAAATGCCTTCTACTTCTTCCTCGACTTCAACATTCTTGCCATCGACTGACATGATTTGGTCGATCTTATCGTCATTCATATGTTCGTCATAGATCTGTTCGCCTTTATATTCGGCTCTCTTGTTGGCGGCGATACCCTCATAAAGGGCTTTGGGGTCGCACCGCAACGACTTGATCATCACCGGTACCATCAACTTTCTGAACGACATCGAAGCGGCCATTGTTTGAAGCAGCGAATCCATAAATGTAATCCAATTGCCGTCCCAATGGATCTCTCCATACAAATGCTCAAAGTTGTTGGTCTTCATGGTGTGAATCTTCCGGAATTTCGGTCCGTAATCGTAGCCAAGGATTTTCAAATCCTTGTAGAGATCAGCAGAGGTAAGATTGACCTCGAAGTCCTTCGATCGGAGTTCTTCGGCTTCAATCATCACATTTTGCAACGACAGCGCGTATTCGTCAGTCGTGCGGACTTTGCCCACACACGTGACGTTTCCGCTCTCAAGTATAGCAAACTCACCTAAAAAGATATAATCACCGAATCAGTCAAATTGTCAATTAAAACAYACAATTTATAACTAAAACATTACCCGAAACGTCATGATATTTGACTTTAATTCTGGTGATATCAGTGTCCGACAAGAAAATTGGTCGCCGGAACTGAACGTCTTCAAAAATAACCGGCAATTGATTCCACAGTTTGCCGTACTGTGCGGCCATACGACGCCACGCAAGCATTAGATAACCAGTGGCCGGATATAAGACATTACCGTCGACGCAATGCTCCGGCATAAAGGCTTTCATACTTTGACTTGGATTATACGTTTCGTTCATATCGGACGCGTAGGCGCGGAAAAAGTTATCGGGAAATTTGCGGACAGTGTTGGTGGTCTCGTGATCCCATTTCATTAGCGAACTAACCGATTGGGTACTTCGGGAAACTGGCCACTCTACCTTCGGATACAGGTTTTCGATTAGCGGATTCAAACCGATTTCATACAGTTTGGCCACAGAGCTCAACAACATTTCCAGATTAGTATCGTTAGAGTCCTTCTTAATCATCGACACATAAGTGCCGGACTCGAGTGTCTCTTTGACTACTTTACTGAACAGACCGTGCGGTCCGATCTCCAGAATAATTGAATCGCTCGGCAAGTATTTGAATTTGTTATAGAAATATACGGGACTAATGAGGTTATGCACGAAATACTCGGCTGACGCTGACTTGAGCTGGTCATCCACATCGGTCTCCAACAGTGCTGTCGAAATCCATTTCTTGGATCGAGGTTTAGGATTGGGAACCACTTTCTTTAGTTCTTCTGTCAACTTCTTGGCCGATGTAATGAGATATTCGCTATGATATGGGATGTCATGACTTTGCAGTTCACGAACAAACACTCCCTTCTTATTCAATTCTTCAACCATTTGTTTAGTCTCATTGTATAAACCTTTTTTGGAAAATACAAATATAATTATTAAATGACAATAATTATGATTATAATTATAGAAATACCTGACACGACAACTGTGTCTTTGCCATTATTACAGACAGGATTTGTACCCTTTGGACACAATTTCTTCGCCTCATTCCACGAGACGCCCATCACAGCCATCAATCCTTTTGGTATTTTTTTGTCACTTTCTGTAACAACTCCTCTATAATATGTCACCAAAAGTGCCTCTTTAGCAGTGAGTGCTCCGTCAGCATAGGCAGCGGCTATTTCACCGAATGAGTGACCAATTATTCCGTCGGGTRTTATACCCAACGAGTGAATCACATCACATAACGCTATCTCTATAGCAGTTGTGGCACAGAATTTGTTAGTCATTGAAGACATGGAATTCTTGTCGTCAGATAATAAAAGATGTTTTAAGTCAATGTTATGGGGTTTTAGTATTTCATGGCATTCATCAATACGATCGGCAAATATCTTGATTGGCATCAATGCCTTAGCCATTCCTACCCATTGTCCTCCCAGTCCGGGGAATAGGAAATAAATTGGTCGCTTATTCTTCAATGTATACATTGCTGAAGACTTTTTGTACTCATATTGGTTATCATTTGTTTGTTTTATGATAATTGAGCCTTTATTTTAAAAACAATTATTTTTTATTATTTTATTATAATTTTCAATTAAGTTATCAAATAATAATAATAGACAAACCTCTGTAAGGCATTCCGCTTGAATTCAAAGAGGGCTCAATTCTCATTGTTTCCGCTATCAGTGCCAAAAAATCTTGAGTGACTTTCTGTGGATTGTCTTCAATCCATTTGAAGAAATCATTTAATGCCGGTTCAGTTCTGCAGCAGATATTAACAATTCTAGGAATAGTGTCCGCAATTTTCAGACTATCCTTATCCGACACTTTATAGTTGGGTTCAAGTAATACGTGTGCGTTTACWCCGCCAACACCAAAGTTGTTAACACCAGCGATGCCTACAAAAAAAACAAACAATAAAATTAGAGATATATAAAACATTTTTGTATTTTTCAAACAAATGTGTAATTAATGTAAATGTAATGTACAAACCGGGTGCATATTTGGTATTTTCAACAATAGGTGAAAGAGGTGGACAAAACTCTTTGATATTGCCCTTAATATTATTTAAATGAAGATTTCTGGGAATCATTTCATTTTCATAGGCCAACAACACTTTGGTTACCGAAGAGACACCAGAGGCGCCCTCGGCGTGACCGATGTTACTCTTTAATAGGCCAATAGGCAGAGTTCCCTGACGTTTGGGTTTACCGCAGTAGGCATTGTAAATAGCTTTAGCTTCTTGAGGATCACCGACCTATCAATCAAATAATAATTGATTATTAGATACAATCAATAATTTAGTTTTCATAGCTTTTGATAAACCTTAGTGCCGGTGGCGTGAGCTTCAAAATAGTTGACATCTCTGGGATCGACATTAGCCTCTTTGTAAACCTGGATCATGAGCTCCTCCTGACTTTCGGCAGACGGAAAGAACATACCCATCCGTTTATTGCCGTCAATATTAACRCCACTGTTCAATACAGTGGCGTAAACTCGTTTCGCATCGGACCGTCGTTGCAATAAAAAACAACTAATGGTCTCTCCTCTGACAAACCCGTCGGCCGACTCATCCCATACTTTGGGTATACCGTCGATGGCATTCAAACGGGTCGACTGGAAAATTTGATTGGAGAACGGCTGCAAACATACTTGAGTGCCGCCAACTATGGCCTGTCGGCATTTGCCTTAAATTAAATAAAACAATATTATATTATATTATTAGTATTTTTACTCAAAATATTTGTGTTATACCAAGTCTTAGATCATTCATAGCCGTATTGAATGCCACTAAACTCGATGAACAGGCCGTATCGATGATCATCGACGGACCCTTAAAGTCAAACACAAATGATATGCGATTGGCGTACAAACACTTTTGAGAGCCGGGAAGCCATAGCAGTGTGTCTGTCATATGAGTCTGTGAGTCCGGCTGTACGTCTTCGGGCAGACCGTCGGGCATTCCGAACGACGAAAAGCCAATGTAAACACCGGTATCTGATCCGCGCAACGATTGCGGGTTTATACCTATGGATTACACGCAAACAAAACATATTAATCAAACTCTATGTATGACTTGTCGTATCGTCAAAGATATGTCATACCAGCGTCAATGATGGACTCGTAAGTGGTCTCCAACACAATACGTGACTGCGGGTCAATCACGTCGGCCATTGTGTTCATAATACCGAAGAAAAGACCATCAAATTTGTCAATATCTTTGAGTTTACCCATACGTGGATTCATACAAAATAAATCTATAGAAAAAATAATAATAATTATAATAATTAAAAGTATACTAATTATTATTATCATTATTAATATCTTTCTCGTCGTTATTTTTTTCTACAAAACTTCAATCAATCAAATTTAATAGTAATAAAACATTTATTATCTATTATTTCAATCAAAATTAAGCAAAAATAAAATCAGTTTGCTTTTGGCATAACATTAGCAATTGTTATCAAAGAGTTTTTTAATACAGTTTTGTATATATAATCAAACTTTTAGTTACTTAAAAACTTTAAACTTTGTTTACTAGTTTAATGTGTTAATAGTTTTTTGACATTTAATATGTAATGAATAGATAAGTCACAAATATTTGGGAGAAAGTAATTAAAATAAAAAAAATTCAGATAATTTTTTKTGTGTGTAATTAAACTTTATATCTTGTTTTTTAATAAATAACATTGATTTAAAAATTATGTATTACAGTAAATATTATTGAATTTTATAATAGTTAATCAATTAAACTAATTAGTTTAAATGTTATTTGATATTATTAAAATTTATATATAAACTAAATATAACTATAATAATTAGTTAATATAAAAATTGCAGATTTATTAATTTAATATAAATATTTAAAGTTCATTATAGAAAAAATGTTAAAAGCRAAGAAAAAATTAAGTCAAACCTGTAGGCCATCTCCTATTATCGGCGGTAATCATATCGACACCATTATATAGATTACTTGCAAACTCATCGGTGGAGTCGGATTCTGGGAATCGGCCGGCCATACCACTGATCACTATGTCCTCGTCCACCAAAGTGGCGGCCAAACGGTTGGGCCGCGGCTGACCTGATGATGAAGACATTATGTTTGGTCGATGGGTTGGTCGCGGGTATGGATTATCTTTATTATAAAAGCAGTCACTTATCAACACACTGTTGACTGCTTTATTGAATATTAAAAGTTTTTCTTTAAACAATAACTATAAACTATCAACTCTTGATCCACCAAACGTTGACAATAAAATTAAATACAAATTAAAAAACAATACAGAATTTTCTTTTCGGTTCAAATTTTTTTGTTGGTTATAATGTTTTCGGGTTTTAATAATCAAAAGTCCTTTTTTCACTCTCTCTTTCTTTCTCTTATCACTTGATTTATTAAAGAGATTAATGGAGAGTAAAAAATTAAAAGATGACTTTCACTAGTAGTGGATGACTACTTCACTAGCGATCTAAACACCAGTGGAGTAAAAGAAAAACTGTTAGATAACTGAGCGCTGGGAGCTCATATTTATAGGTTAAGGTATGCCATGTGAGTACTCAAACTTTTATAGAAAAGAGAAAGTAAGTGAAAGATCATAATAATTAACAAAAAAGCTTTTCACTATAACTTTAATCCCTTTTTCTAGGGAAAGGTAGAGAGAGAGAGAGAGAGAGAGAGAGAGAGAGAGAGAGAGAGAGAGAGAGAGAGAGAGAGAGAGAGAGAGAGAGAGAGAGAGAGAGAGAGAGAGTTTAAAGTAAGTGTTTAAAAGGGATAGTACTGAATATTGCTGTTATGCTATGTATTGGAAAAACTCGTTTTTGTCATACAAATTATACGGATAGTCTTACAACTATCCTATTATCACTTTTATGTATATTATATGATACACAAGTGTACACAAAAATTAATAGGTTGTTAACTATAACCGTATGTGTGTTTGTATTTCATTACAACTGAGAAATCTATATTATTTAAAACACATACAAATTAATTGTAACAATTTTATAGTGCCTTAAGTAGTGTACACTTGTTATTTAATATATAGATCTCTCTCTCTCTCTCTCTCTCTCTCTCTCTCACACACACACACACACACACACACACACACACACAAACACAGAAACTACAAATTTGATTAATTTTAATTTTTATGAGACAATTATTTTTATATATAAAAATTTGATATATATATAATTTTCATGTTGACATGAATTTAATTATCKACTAAATTATATTAAAAAATAATTTATTGGGCAAGCTTGATTAAATATTATTAAAATTATTTATATAAAAATCTTTWAAAAATATTTGAGTCCAATTAAACTTTGAAATCCTGATTTGAAAATAAAAATATTTAAAAAATATATATATATAACACTAAATTAATCATAAATATATTAAGTGGTATATCTTTATATATAATATAAGAAAATTTAGATTATTTTTACAAAAAAAATATTTTATATTAAATAATTTATTATCTTAAATTTATCTCTTATTTGTGATTAATTTTTAGATAGTTTTWTAAAAAATATTTTTTTTAATATGTATGATTATTTAAATAATGTATTMATATATTATCATCGTTTATAATTGTGTAATTAGAGTTAAATTGCAAATGAACTCATATTTAAAAATATTTAATTAACAAATGTTATTATGAAAAATGTGTGAATTAKTTGACCACAAAACATWTTTATTTTATCAGCAAAATTATTAATCAATGTTACAAAATATTTWCATAATTTAAACAAACATTTGAAGTGTGAAATGTATTAAATTAGTTTTTTAAAAGAATGTATTGTTATATAATATATCTAAAAACTTTCATTTATATGTTTACTATATTGTAAATTAAAATTAAAAAATTATAATGCTATCACATGTTTGAATCATATCTTAATCAAGATTATTATGACAGTGATAGATAAACTCCGACACAAAAATGATACACAAATAAAAATATATATATATTTAAGTACTTAAAATACCGGAAAATAAATRCTATTAGAAAGTGATATCAATTCTAAAGTTAATCGTTGAAAATGTTTCGGTTTCAATAATTATATTAATTTTTCAAAACACTTTTGATTATATAATTATTATTATTATATAAATTTAGATTTGTTATCATTTAGAGAGTACTCTATTTAATGTACTSRATGTAAATATTATTTAGTGATATAGTTTATCATATTTTATTGTTTTGTATAATTTATTTTAAAAACTTTACTAATWACAAATATTTTAGCAAATGATAATACATTATACTGTATTTAATGGATGACATAATCAATGATTATTTTTTTATATTTTGAAATAACAGTTTGATAATCAATTACAGGTATATATTKTTTATTCGAATGAATTTAATCAACAAATTATTTTTTAATTTTATTTTTATTTATAAAATTATTATCCAATAAATATGTCAATTAATTGTCATTTAAAATTACTCAATCATATTTCATTGAAATRTAATATTTATTTTACAAACATGTAATTACCATTTATATTATTATTTTTATTTCTATTATTATTTAATACTATTTTTATCGTATAGATAACACTAGAAAAAATCATATTTATGGYACAGTATAGTGCCATTTAAGGGCAATTTAAGCCAAATTTCCAATGACCATGATCAAATTATAAGTCATAATTGTATTGTTAAATAATAATAAAAAAAATAATATTGACGTATTTTGAAAAATGTTTTCCATAACAAATAAATCTATTTTTATAAAAGATTTTAAGTTACTAAAAATAGTAACAAAAAATATAAATTTTTTATACTTAAAATTACAAAGTCGGGCAAAATTATTAGACGTTTGAGATTATAATTATTAGTATTAGTAACAATAGGTATGCGGTTATGTTCAGGGACATTTGTCATTGTGTATCATAGATAATAGATAAAGAGTAATATTATTATAATATATATATATATATATACTGTCAAATCAATTATGGAAATATTTTAAACATACGTAGACTATCAAAATTGTAAATTTCAAAATATGTAATTTTAGCAAGTACACAATTATGATAATTTATTTATCTATTTTAATATTTATAGTGCACAAAAATTATACTGTTTAAACTAAAAATACCTAGTGTACTTTTTTATTATACAATAAGTACTTTTGAAACATTTTAGACAAATTTTTGATGTCATCACAAAAATTGTATAGACCTTAAAAAGTACAGTATTAGCATATATTATTGTACATAATTTATTAAATTTATTATTAATTATATGACGGATTATATTGTAAAAAAGATTTCAAAAGTTATAAATGATATGAGTTTGTGTGTGTAAATTAAATAATAATAAAAATAATATACAATGCAATTAAGTACAGTAAATAATGAATATTGATATGAAAATAATTGCTATGCAATCAATAATATAAAATAAATTAAAAATTCAATTACAATAAAATTATTTCAAAAATATATTTTTTATTTATTATAAAAAATTACTAAAAATTTGTTCAATAAATCTTATTTTGTTGTTTCAAACATAATGACAATAAGTATTATATAAAAATATTTGCAATTAATAAAATATGCTTACCTTTTTATTATTTAGAAAAATTTACAAAAAAATGTTGATTAACATTAAAAAACATTAAAAATAATAAAAATAGTAAAGTTAACAAAATTTATTATTTACAAATATTAATATAACTCTAAAACCCATAACATATAATAATTTAATTTTAATAACAATTTAAAAACAATATCTGTTATAACTATACACTTGTTTCATATTTTACTAATAATAATTAGTTTACAAAATTTTACAAAATTTCGTGAAAAGATTTCAACCATTTAGAGGTATTTTTCTTGTTTTATATAAAATAATATTGTGTTTTATTAGATTACATCGCTTGGAATTAATTAAAAAAATTTGTTTTATTTTATTTTCTTTAATAAAAAACACTTATTTATATGTACTCTAAAATGAATCCGTTTTTTGACCCAGATTAAATTATATGTGTCTATGTATTAATATTTAAAATTTAAATTTAAAATTTTTGTTAATATTGAATTATAAAAAATAGCAAAAATAGAAATATTATTATATCTTTCTTAAATTTTTAGATGTATATTAAAATTTTTAAGTTAATAAATTCTATTAAATAAAATATCAATTTTAATAATTGAATAATTATAAAATTTTCTTTAAAAAATAATAAATAMAAATATAAATAAAAAAAACTATAATACACAATGATTAAATTTACAAGTATTTATTATACTAAAAAATTCACAATTTTAATTTATCAAATTATTATTACTTTATTTATAACAATTAATATTTATCATATAATTTTATAATGAAGTTGCTTTTTTATTCAATATATATATATATTTAAAATTTCTAATATTAATAGTTATTAATAATAAGTTTATTTTGTCAAATATGATGTGAATGTAATTCACCATTTATTACAAATGTGTGATTTAAAAACAATAATTTTTATACTTTATATTGATTTATAATTTATAATTCAAGTATAAATAATTTATCAATATTAGATTTTTTAATATTTAAATATATAAAATAAATTGAACAAAATATTTATTTACTAAACAAGTTAATTATCTTAACAATAATCTTAATTTGATCAATGAAATAATAAAAATATTTAAAATGTTTTTGAATGACTAACTGTTGCTAAAATATATACATATATATAATATGTAAAATTAATAACTGTTATCAAAATGTTTTGTATAATATTTTAATATTATGATCTGAAAAGTTCATCGCTTATAACAAAAATTAAACCAAAAAGTGATTTATTATTTAAATAAAATGTGTACTCTGTTTATAGTTTTTAATAATTATAAATATATTTTATAAGGAAAATTTTATCATTTTCTTTTTTAAATTGTTTATATTAATATTATAATATAAGTAAACAAAAAATTGTTTGAATAAATAATTGTTACTTATTATAATGAAGTATATTTGAATAAAATATATTTAAAATTATTGGCATATTAATTTTTAATGTAATTTATATTTTTTTATAATGCTATGTTTGTGTATTCATTATAAATTCACTAAATCAATATTTAAAAATATGTTTATTTTATATCTGTATATATAGTATATTGTTTTAGTATTTTCAATAGATATTTTTTTTATTATATGAGTTTAAATATGATAAAAATAAATAACAATTTAATTATTAATTAGTTTTAGTTATGATATAAAATAATTTTATTTTTATTTATGACATGAATTATACAATAATAATTAAAATAGTATTAAATTGGTGTATGTACTGTACAATCACCAATGCAAATACAAAAAATACCCATTAAAAAAATAAATCGTCATATTTAATATTAATTCAATAGTTTTATTTTATAAAATTTACACTACTGAGTATGTTAATAATATATATACTTTATATTATATTATTATATTACTGTATATTGAGTATAATATAATTAAAATATCATATTTATATGTTATAATTCATATTTATGGAAATACCATAATATAGAAATAATATATAAATT